AGTGTAACACATCCGTAGGTGGAACACCTTTACAAATGATAGACGTTGCTTAACTTGTACATCTGTTGAAGATGAAAAACATTTTTTTATTGATTTTAAAAACATGATGCACAAAGGAGAGTCCTCTTTGAAAATATTTGGACCCAATTTTCTAATCAATGAAACAAATTTTAAAATGCTATTGTCTTCGCAAAATATTAGTGTTCAAAGGCATATTGGCAAATATATTTACAAGTCTTTCAAAATTTAGAATAAACTGCAATACTTGTGCTACACTGCTAATACATTTTTTACCATCTTTTATGCATCAAGTTTTATAAAGAGCCTGTAAACTCATGCAAATGATTTTACATTACATGTACATAGTGAAATTATAAATGTAGTCTAGCATTTAGTTAATAGTGTAGTATTGTCTTGAGTCTAGTTTGTACATAGACTAATGTATCATGTTTTGATACAATTGTCAATAAAAGAAATATATAAGTGAAACACAGTCATAAGTGGAACACATCAGTAGGTGGAACACATCCGTTATATAAATACAGCCGTAATACTTTTCAAGAGCTGATACCCACGAGCTTAATGCATAATAAACCTCTGTATATAGAACACCTCCCAATGGGGCACTATTTCGAGTTACCAAAGGTGTTGCACTTATGCATGTTTCACTGTACACCATTAACTAGCAGGGAGGGCAGGTCAAAGTAACTATAACTAAATAAATATGTTACTAAGTGACTGTTGAGGTAGAAGGAATCAAATAGAGACAATGTTATTAACTACCAGTATTTTTCAAAGAATCTATATAGCCTAGATATTTTGCAAGGGCATTCTAAACACTTTGCAAATTGATATATCTATTAATATATTTATTAGATCTCCTAATGGGGAATACACAGGTGTTGTCTAGTAATTATACAAATTTCAACAAAAAGGAACATCATGAATGTCACAAAGAATAAAATAGAAGATTACGTCAGAAAAATCATTATAACTGTACACTGTAAGAGAGTAGGAGTAGATAGGTGGATATAAGTGAGTTATTAGGATTCTATAATGCAAAAAAAAACTTTTGTAGCAGCAAGAAACAATAAAGTCATTTTGAGAAGTTTTATGGTATTAAACACATTGTAAACATTCAGATATTTCAAATTGTTGAAGTTTAAAAGACACAGTTGTTTTGGAGGGATTAATTTTAGTATGTGGAGTCCTTAAAGCCAAGGGTACAATCATTATTTTAACTACAAAAGAAGCGAATAACTTCTAGCTGTTTAAAATGATGTGACAGTCACACATATTTCATACAGTATAATAATAAAAGGAGGAAAAACAGTTTTGAGGTTCTGTATAACAAAAAAAACTTTATCATAAAAGATGACAACGAATGAAACATTTAAATATCCACCAGTGGCGGGCTATATCGGAGCTAGTGTTTCAATAGCAGTCTTCATAATAGGAAGCCTGACAAATTTTGTAGCGATCGTAGTATTTGTTAAAACAAAATCCTTACGATCGATAACAGACATCTTACTTGTACATTTATGCGTCGTGGATGGATTATTCTGCATTTTCATACTCCCAATCACAGCCGTTAATGACCTACAGGAAAGGTGGATACTCGGTGAGATATTCTGTCAAATTTTTCCATTCATTGCTATGTTTACTGGAGCTGTATCGTTATTTGGGTTGATGTTGGTGTCTGTCAACCGCTATGTGTTGATCGTACACTCAGCATCATATAGAGTCATTTTTACCAGGAGAAAAACTATAGGAATGCTTGTTGGACTTTGGTTATTTGCCAGCGTTATTTTAATATTTCCCTTAACGAGGCTTTGGGGTGAATTTGGGTTCTCTGAGAAGAAGAAATCATGTGTTAACATGCCAGGTTTCAGAAACAGTTCTTACAACATCTTCATAATGATCTTCACATTTAGCGTTCCCCTGATCGGCATGCTCTATAGCTATATCAGCATCTACATCAAAATATGGAAGCATCAGCGACATTCTACAACAACCAATAAGAATAACAAGGACATCCATGTTGCAAAAATGACAGTGATAATATTTGTAGCTTATATTATCACCTTTTTGCCGTTTGCACTTTTCAACACGTTGGATGGGAATGTGACGATGCCCATTGCTCATAGGATATGTGGTTGCCTGACATACATTAACAGATGTCTTAATCCTATCATATATGTTCTCATGTCTGCCAAGTATAGACAGGCCTTACAAAGAATTACGAACAAGAATGCGGTCACTGTTTTATCATCTGGAATGACTGGATCCTTTGCTAAATAACAACATTTCTAATATCAGAATCCTGAAGAGCAAGCCTGAAACGTATGGATCATTTTACTAACATTTAGGACTATTTTTATACAATAAAACAAGCCCTAAAACACACATCAGAACTGAAATTATTTCCTGAAATAGTGTATTGTATGACTGAAGACAGGCCTGAATTATCAGGATTATATAACTAGTATATGGATCTGAATATTTGGATTGTTTAAATTAAGACAAGCCTGAAAAGATGACATCAATTGCCTTAAGAAAAGCTGAAAATATTATACATGTACAGGGTGTCCCAAATGTATGGGGCCCCCTGGGCAGAAATATACCAGTGTCGTCATAATATGTGTCATATATAATTCTAAAGCTTATTCAAAGTTACATTGATTTGCCAAGTATCGTGGTTCAACTCTCAAATGGGAAAGAGTTACAGTCATTTAAAATTTAGTGTTTTGCCAAAATAAAGTTCAATTGTACACCACATTACTGGTCAATGTGTCATGATCTGTTTATCCCATACCAAACTTGGTTATCTTGTTCACACGTTCAATTGGTCTGAGTTCAGAAAGTTCCCAACCATCCGTAAGAATTCTTTAAGAATTCATTTTAAGTTTTGTTTTCTTGGACGTAGCCTCTAACAAACATAAAATATCAGCAAGTTAATTTTTCTTTAAAAGGACAACCAACCATTAATAATCGAAACAACCAAACCATTAATAATCAAATCGAACCCAACCCAACAACACAACTACAAATCTAAAATTCAAAGAAACAGTTTCAAATGACTTCCATTCCCCATCATTCAAGAATAGCAAGAATAACATGGATCATGCAATTCAAGACAGGGCTTAATCTGATCAAGATGTACATGTAGCACTCGCTATAAGTATATCATATCTGGTGTTAAAGCTGTTCATTTGTTCAGTAGAGTGGATTACTCAATCCACAAAATACTACTTAGAAAAATTATTCATCATCTGTAATAAAGGAAACATTTCTGAAAACAATCATTAGAATTTAATAATAGATGAATCTTTTTGGATGTCTTAGTGTTAAAATTACATTTTATACCCTTTCAAAAAATGGCTGTTTAAGTTTTATTACTTGACTGTATAATAAAATTGGGTAAACTGTGTGAAATGTTTTTAACCCCAAATCTTAAATCAACTATACATAATGACCACACCCATAATTTATTCTATTGGGGGGGGGTATTATCACAACTTTCACATTGATGGTACAGCTCAAGGATAAAAAGGTTAGATCATCTAATAGGCCTTATTGAGGGCATTGATCTCAGTTGTCTTATTTACTTTTCTTGGTATTGGCATGTACAAATTCTTGGATTTCTAAAAATAGGATCAAATTAGATTCTGTAGATAGCTGTAATTGCTAACAATACATTAATATACAAAATTTCACCACCTGCAATTTATTACAGACATCGACAATGAAATGCCATTTCACAAAAATATTTTTTTCTTCTTTTCACAACCTTTATTTTACTAAACAGGACGTTTCGGATTCTGTCTGGATCCTTTTTCAACTGTATAAAAACTGAACTGAAGCAATTAGATTCTTTAATCTTTCAAGTCTCTTATTGTCATTGTCCAAAACCGTGGTATTGTTCCAGTCCATTACGCAATTATTCTGTAGGACGTGGTCCATAATCATGGCTGAATTTGGAATTTGAATTTTGGAATTTGGATTGAATTTTTGGTGAATTAACATGAAGTAATATTGTTTTTATTTAATTGTTTTGTAGCGCTTCAGTTCAGTTTTTATACAGTTGAAAAAGGATCCAGACAGGATCCGAAATGTCCTGTTTAGTAAAAAAATATTTTTGTGATTTGATAATCCAGCCTGAAGAACATGTTTAAGAAATGCCATTTGTTACAGATTTTGGATATCAACCGCCAAATACTGAACACCAACCACCACACACCATCCACAAAAAAAGGTGGAGACTATAACAATATGTCACCACTTCTGGTGGTGATGTAACAACATTCCAAGGTATATCCAAGAAAGTGATTAGAGATGCCAGGTATGGGAAAGCGTATCTATTTTTCCAAAAATATATGAACAGGGGATTTAAATGAATGTAGGGCAAGTAGAATGAGTTATCTGATTTATCACACTGAGCATTTTACATGCAAGCTTCTCTGCATACCTTAATGAATGATTTAGGTTTTAGCCACCTTAACTGTTGAATTTCAAATACAGTAAAGCATCCTCCAGCATTTGTAGTATATGAGAGAGATCAGTATTTAAGAACTGGAAGTTATTGGTTCATATGCTACACAAAATTAAAAAGGATTGAAAATGATTAAATCTCCAGAAAAATAAAAAAGATATAAGGATTTTGTGTAAAAATTTAGATTCACTTTTATCTGAATCTCATGCATATCATGAAAAAGATTACAAAAATATGAGATTTTTATGTAAAACCTTCACCTGGAATTCCAAGTTGAAATAATGTGTGAAAAAATAATAATAATGATGAAAAGATCTCAAAATACAGAAATCGTTCATTCATGTAAATTCTTCATCTACCTCTTTATTTGAACTACCTCTGTAACAAGCAAAACATCCAAAAATAAAGAAATTATTGATTCATCTAAACCCTTCAGAGAGACTTTTTTATTTAAATCACCTGCGTATGCGAAATATCTCAAAATGTGGAAATTATTAAAGGTTTGTACCTTTCAACTTGCAGATTTTTGTTCTCTTGTTTGAAGTAAGTCAGTTCATTCCATACAGTGTCTGTATCTTCATTTTGTAAGTCCTTGGGTGTTGACCTACTCAGCTTGGCCTTCTTGCGTTTAACACTAAATCAAAATCGACAAACTTAGGCTTGCAAGTGAAATTTATACAGTAAATAGTACTGAAACACAAGACATTTAAAGACATATGTCACTACCAGGTTGCAAAACCAAAGTGTAACGATGGCAACAATGTTGAATGCAGACATATACACCGAGACAATTAAGTAGCTACTGCTACCTGTGTTACATTAAACCTTCCGATAATGCTCTGTTTAGAGCTATTATCAGCCATCTATTTTTAAAGGAAAGCCATGCATTTCTTTTTCAATTAACTGTTTCTATAAAAACGTAAAAATGGGCATTAATATGACAAAATACCATTATAGACATCCGATTGCAATAACAGATGAAATAATTGAAACCTTCATGTCACTTAAGCAATAAAAAAGAACTAATAAAAGGAATAAAATATTTTATTATCATTCGATCATTAAATAAATATCTGAATGTTTAGACATATTACCCATGTAACTCCTCCTCAGCGGTGACTAGCTGTTGGCGTAAAAGTTTATGATCAGCTTGGAGTGCTTTCAATCTATCTAGTCTCCTGCTGTGAGCACTGCGTAGTTGCTTCAACTCTTCACCCTGCAAAGGAGGATGTTACTCATCATTCTACACCAATAAAATGTTTTATTTCCCATTATATGTTACCAGATTTGTGCATTTAAATGTTGTTCCTTAAATTCGGTCACATGTTGAGGTTTACCCCATAGTTACTGTGATTTTCATAGGATATGTCAAAATGAAGGTGATAATCTTGTAACTAGTGGAAAAATATCTTATTTTTGGTAAGTTTTCACAAATGATTACAGCTTTTAGATCATGAAACATGGTGCTGTATGCAATGATTAATAGATTTTTGCTACTTGAATCTAAACAAGACTGACAGGAGCCAACAATTAGTGGAATTACACCTATTTCATGGCTAAAGGCGTTTTCAAGGCGTTTTGGGTAACGTAGGCTAGAAAACCACAATCCTGATTACACCAGAATTTTAAAAGCGCCTTGAAGACAACTTTTCGTGATTACACTTGATTTTTCTAAAGCGCTTTTAGACTGATTTAAGACAAAAATTTGCCATCAACCATCGCATTTGCATCAAAATCTGCTATTTAGATATACACTTTCAACCGTAGCGCCATCTCTGGAGATTCAAAATGATCCGATACTGTATGTTCCTTTTTTTCTTAAATCGTATTCAATCTACCTCTGGCGTTAACAAATATGTGCTAAGGAAAGCATGGAAAACAATGCACAAGCGCGCAAAGAGAGAAGCTCGGTCGTTAGGAGAGATCCAAGAGAGATCCAGTAAAATGAAGATGGTACTTTTGTTGGGGCTGTTTGGCATCCTTGGTAATATAGGACAGGAACGAACGATGTGGACAAGACAAAGATCTCGTCATTTTTTTTACTTCATTGTAGAGAGGTAATTTCAACTATTCAATCATCCCCTCCCCTCGCCTTCCCCAATCTACAATAGTACCGGAATTCCTCGTATATAAGCCCTGGGCGTATAACTGAAAGAAGGGGTAATTTCGTCCGTTATTTTATCATTTTTTATACGCCCATGGGCGTATAAATATAAGACTTTAAATTTTTGGCCCAGTGAGCGTCAAAGTGATCAAGAAGAGCTATTATCATAATACTATGGTGCTCAAAATATTAGCTACTTTCTTCTGTTCGGAATGCTGAATCATCAATATCCGTCGTCAATAGTATTATATTATTTATTTAATTTACGGTTATTCTATTTTCAAATTGCGTTGTTCTTTGGCCTGGATCTTTTTGTCAGCCCAAATCGAAAGCATACGCTCAGTATTGACGTGGTCCCAATAAATTCTACTTTGTTTCGACATTTTGGTGATTTGATTGAGTTTTGCACAATATTTGAATTTTGTTTTTTGAAGTTTCCTCCACATCGGAAATCAATAACATGCTTGATGCTCATGCGCAAATATAGTTTTCGTTCAGTGTAAAATCGAGTTAAAGCGCCTTGAAAACCAATCGGTATTACACCTACACGTTAAACCGCTTTTGGGTGTGAAAGCGGTTTTTAATGACTAGGGGTCTGGGAGGATTACAAAAGCGCTTTTCTAAATCCGCGATCGTGATTACACCTGACTCTAAAGGCGGGTCGAAACCCGATAGGATTTTAAAAAGCGCTTTTACATCGTAGGTGTAATTCCACCTAATGGCAATAACAGCTTTTAAAGGTTAAGAAAATGACTTCAGTAATTTTGTTACTTCTTTAATTTGATTTCATCTTCATGTTTCCATTGATGCATATGTACGTAAATTCAAATAAATAATACATCAATAAAGATAAATCATTCTGAAAATATCTATCAACAAACTAATCAACAAGGCATTAACATGCAAAATGTGACAACCTGCCATTTGTTACAGACACTGAACACCATCCACAAAAAAGTCTGAGACCATAACAATATGTCACCACTTGTTGTGGTAACATAAAAAGCTAAATACTTTACTTCCTAAACTACTGTTCTACCTTTATGGTTGCATTACCTTTAATTTGATCAAGTGTTGAGCATCTTTGTATTTCTTCTCTGCTGATTCAAGTCTTCTCTGCAATTCCTTAGTTTGAGAGATCTTTTTAGGAGATGACCTTACAGGTGACCTTTCCAGCCTTGACTTCATTGGTGACCTCTCTGACCTAAAGGGTGACCTATCTGACCTTGACCTTGGATGAGGTGAAGAATTGTGAATGGGGGAGAGTGGACGGGGTGATAGTGCTTCAGAGGTCTCTAATCTTCGAATGATTCTGCAAAGTTCAATTTCAAACACATCTACATTTGAGTAAAGCAAGAAAGAAATTTCTCCATTCTATTGAATAAAATGTTGATACTCAACATACCATGATCAATCTAAATCAATGTATCAATCAAAATCCGGAAAGAATACACATTATTGATACATTAAGGAATTTAGTGTTCTGCAATTACCCTTAATAAAATTAAATATTAATTATCTTATCTCGGATATTCAAAGAATAAAAAAGTGATTAGATTGAGTGCATCATTCGTAATTAAGAAAAAAATGGCCTGTACAGTACACACGCAATGAGTTGACAGTCATCTGACATCGACATATCCTGTGAAAATTCCTAATAAAAGTTAATTTAAGAGGCTTTATTTCCCAGAATTTATTGCTCAACTGGCACCTATTCTGTTAATTTAAGAGGCTTTATTTCTAAAAACTTATTGCTCCACTGTTACCTGTTCTGTTCAGCTATTTTAGAAGTTAGATCATCAACTTCACTTTCCAAGTCAGCTATCTTCTCTGCCTCCTCTCTTGCACAAACCTAAGGACAAGTTCACATAACTTTTATACATAATGAATAAACTTTGAGATCCATATATAGGTTTATTGTGTTAATATGGAAACAGAATAAAATCCTGTATAAACATTACAATATGAAACAAAGCATTCATGAGTTAACTATATCACCACAATATGAAACAGTTGAAACAGTTTTTTATCACTGTTGTAATTTCTCTACAAAGTCACTGTGATTTAGCTCCTTTCCCCAAAGTATATATTAACCCAAGAAGTGCTTTCTATACTTTAAAATGAAACTGTCAGGAATCATAAATAACTGCTTGTAACATATCAAGTTTATCAGTGATCACACCAACCTCATTTTCTAGGGAGGCCTGCGTAGCGATACTTTTATTGGCAACATCTAAATCATCCACTTGTTTCTGTAGGTTCCTTATTTCACTCTCACTCTGGAGCAGTTGCTGGAATATTGGAATAACACACTGTACATTCATCCATAATGGAATAACACACTGTGCACTCATCCATAATGGAATAACACACTGTACATTCATCCACAATGGAATTACACACTGTGCATTCATCCATAATGGAATTACACACTGTGCATTCATCAATAATGGAATAACACACTGTGCATTCATCAATAATGGAATAACACACTGTACATTCATCCATAATGGAATAACACACTGTACATTCATCCATAATGGAATAACACACTGTGCACTCATCCATAATGGAATAACACACTGTACATTCATCCACAATGGAATTACACACTGTGCATTCATCCATAATGGAATTACACACTGTGCATTCATCAATAATGGAATAACACACTGTACATTCATCCACAATGGAATAACACACTGTGCACTCATCCATAATGGAATAACACACTGTACATTCATCCATAATGGAATTACACACTGTACATTTATCAATAATGGAATAACACACTGTACATTCATCCATAATGGAATAACACACTGTGCACTCATCCATAATGGAATAACACACTGTACATTCATCCATAATGGAATAACACACTGTACATTCATCCATAATGGAATAACACACTGTGCACTCATCCATAATGGAATTACACACTGTACATTCATCCAAAATGGAATAAAACACTGTACATTCATCCATAATGGAATAACACACTGTGCATTCATCCATAATGGAATAACACACTGTGCATTCATCCATAATGGAATTACACACTGTGCATTCATCCATAATGGAATAACACACTGTACATTCATCCATAATGGAATAACACACTGTACATTCATCCATAATGGAATAACACACTGTACATTCATCCATAATGGAATAACACACTGTGCATTCATCCATAATGGAATAACACACTGTACATTCATCCATAATGGAATAACACACTGTGCATTCATCCATAATGGAATTACACACTGTGCATTCATCAATAATGGAATAACACACTGTACATTCATCCATAATGGAATAACACACTGTACATTCATCCATAATGGAATAACACATTCATCCATTTTGCCAAGATCACAGGTACTAACCAGACCTCAACATATGAGCTCGCTATGGGGAAGTTTAAAAACTTAACTAATTAAGCAGCTTTAGTGCTTCCAAAGATCTTGTTATCCTGTACTATTGGAATAAGTAATTTTGAGGGGTATCAAAGGGGGTGTCATATGATACCTTAAGAAAGCTCATGGTACTGTATGATATGGATGATACTCATGCTTTCATACCCTGATGAAGGAACCCAAAATTATGAAATTGCTTTTCAGATCACACCAGTCTGTACACTCTATCACTGCTCACTAGGAAACTAATAAAAAAAACTCCATCTTTTTATAAAAATTGTAGTGTATGTACATGGCACACATACCTTATTTAGCTCTATAGTGTCTTGTCTTAGCTGGTTTTCGGAATCCCTAGTAGCAGCATACTTCACTTCCAGCTCATTATAAAGCTGTTGCAGAGATTTGTTCTCTAAAGTCCTTTTAGTCTCTTGTGTTTCTAGCACCTTCTGGGTGTCATGCTGTAGAGCCTGTAGCTGTTGAATGATGTCATTCTGTGCTGATGCATGCTCTGTACATTGCCTGTGTGTCATCCATAGTTCTGATAACTCCTTCCTATAACACATATAAGACAAATAATGACTGTGATGCTAATGTAATCTACAAAGGAGATTTGTTAATTTTCATTGGCAAAAAATGGGCTATAGGAAAATTCACAGCGTATCAATATTTACTCTTAACATAATCACAGATTTTTTAACTAAGTGTCTGATGTCTGATTATGCATCAAGGTCTAGAATTTGTCAAAACTTGGACTGAACCTTTCAAATATACTGTTATAGCTACCTGACATTCTCAAGTTCTTTGTTTTTAGCCTCTATATCTCTTGTGTGTTTTTTCAGCTGCACCTCACACTTCTTCAGCAACTTTCTTGACTCGTCATGCTACAACAATAAACATAAAACAACAGCATGCTCTTCATGCTACAACAAATGCTACACTATGTAAATTCATAATATTCAACATGTAAACTATGCGGTTAAACACAGGGTAGCAAATACAGCATACTTTACATGTCTCTATACTGTAATTTATATTTCACTGAAGTGAACATTTCAAGAAAGCATATATTTATTTTTTTCATTTATGAAAAATTAACAGCAACTTTCATTTCTGTTAGATAGGTTTTAATGTAAACACAAGATAGACATGTGACATTCATTACTGAAATGGAAAATGTTCATATTACTCTGATAACACGAGTAAAACAGATGTTTTTGTTGGAATAATTTGTAGCTTAGAACCTGGTGAAAACTTCAATCCACCATATAAAAAAGAAAGTGAGAGTCATGCAATGAGAATGCAAAAAGAATTTGAACATGACTGTGCAGCACTGTGCAGCTATGGTTGTACATATACTTACATCTTTAGACACAGAGGCATGTTTTTCCACCCACATTTTCAGTTCAGTTTCCAAACCCTAGAATAATGAAGAATAATTGAATAAAGCTGAAACTGAAATGTACTACTGAAATTCTGAAATACATGAACAGTATATACAAAGAATACAACAAGCTGAGGCAACCCCTCTATGCATTCATTTACACATGCCACCAATAGAACATACCAATCAAAATGTTTGACAGACCAGTTGCCAATTTATTTGGCTATGCTGGAAAATTGGCTGACTGAGAACAAACCTAACTGTCCTGGTTCTCTAATGCCTTGGTCACATTTGCTCCGATCCGTTGGCCGGCGCCCGCCCGATTGAGTGTTTTGTTCAATATTGTATTCAGCCGTGGAGAAAATCGGCGCAAATGTGACCAAGGCAAAACTGTTGATTATACTTATGACCAATAAGTCTGTATGGCCATAGTTTACAGGAGCTGTGCTAAATAAGTAGCCCAAAGGTACCTTGATCTTGTTCTCCAGGGTATGCTTTACAGCAGTTAGGTCTGCCTTGTCACTGTTCAAAATTGCACATTGCTTACTCAGATCAGTGATTCTCTGGTTGAAATCTGGAAATAAAATCCCATACATATTAAATGGTCTTGCATCAGATCTTTGGTTCCTCCACTTTCCAACCATTTTTTCATTACTATGAATAGAACAGAGGCCAGTGCGACATTAATGGTACTTAAGGCAAAGCTTTATTGTGTGCATTTATATATAGACTGAGGATGGGCCTCAGTAACCTTTGCTTTGAGAGGTATTCCAGCACACTTCATAATTTATCTCTACTCAGCTAGTGTTATATATCTTCTAAAAAATGTTCAAAAAGAATAAAAGTATTAATATGAAGAAACAGAAAAATTGGAATAATCATTTACCATATCATAAATAAATATTTTTAACTTTGGACATACCATATTTTTCTTGCTTCAGATTATAGATCTCTTTCTGGTTCTGTTCACTTGAACTAGTCTTTTCCTCCCCAATAGAGACCACCTAGAAAAGTGAATGTAACAGGTAAATACATTTTCTTTAAAAGACAAGACATAACACTGCAAGACAAAATCTACATATGCTGTTGACAGACAGATGAAGAGTTGGCTGATCAGGGTAAATATATAAGCACTAGTGCCAAAGGGAAAGGACTAAAAGTTGTAATGGAACTTAGCAAGAAAAAGCAAACTCTAAGTGCATACCAGTCAAGAAAAACAAACCCCATATAGCCCAAAACAATGATCTAACGTGAAAAGAAACAATGTCTAATACCCCCTTTCCCCCCACCATTCAAGAACCAATATCACAATTAGGGGCAAATAATGGTGATATTAGGGAGATAAGTTACACATCTTTAAGAGAACATGTATGAGAGCGTGCAATATTTCGAGCCCTGTGAATTACTGTACCGCTCTCAATTTTTCCAGGAACCCAATTACAATTATTTTCCATATACCATCATACTCAATCAGTAAACACTACAAATTGGAGAACTAATCCACACAGAAACATAATATCTACACATATGCGTTCAAGCTTTATAAAAAAATCTTAACCTCCCAAATTAAGGATGATTTGACTGAGGGTTTGAGAAAATTTTATCTGAACAAGATAACAAGGTAAATAATCATGAAAGTGAATTCTATAAATCCTTAGTCTTTAATACCTGTTGCTTGAGTTGTGTATGTTGCTGTCTTAGAACATGGTTCTCTGCAAGTAGTCTGTTCACCTCATCTTGTATTTCAAGTTTTCTAAAATCACCATATATTTCTATGATATACAAACAGGTAAACACTTAAACATGCAGAACTATGGCACTGCAATGCAAAATTTAATATGTGTATAAGTAATATTAATCACCATAGTGTTAATAAATTACTTGGAGATATTTATCTAAATTGAAGCAATGTTTTTGTTTTACATTTTCCTGCTCAACTCTCCTAGTAATAGAGGGCAGCACCAGCCTTAATAAATAAAAATCCATGTGACTTATTTGCAAAACATAAGGAATATTTATAAACAAACATCTGACAACTTACCTATTGATAAATTCACTGAGTTCCTTCGATTGAGATGCAACTGTTTTCTGGAGTTGTTCTATTTTGTCATCTTTCAACTGAAGAATCCCCAGAACCTTGCGGTCTTTCAGTTCTGCTTTCTCCTTTTCCCTAAAGGAAACAATATCAATATTTGGAATAAAAGGTGAACATTCCTACTATGTTCTTATCACTTGCTTAAGTATTTTATATTTTCACTAAAACATATTTTTCTTCTTGGACCACATCTGCCTCATGATATTCTAGGGGTCTGGCAATTGCTTGAGAATGTTTGTAACATGGGATCTAAATGGTTTGCTACTAAACAGAAAAATAATTGTCAAATAGAAATCAACAAATGTTCCTTTTGATTTGTGCATGTGGTCCATATTATTTACTAATATAAATTTTAGTCTTTTCAACAACATGCCATACATGCATGTACTTGGAAAAGATTTTGTATTACTATACTAAGTTATGATAGTTATTTATGTTATTCAATAAATATGGTATTACTTGCTTTTCCAGACACACAGCTCAAAGTAAATAAAATAAAAGTGTTGTCTTACCTTTGTATGACCAGTCCAATAGATTGTGTGATATCTGGCGATGCCACTTGTAGTCGTTTCCATAGCGACCAAACAAACTCCTTGTCTGCCTAAAATAAAGGAACTGACATTTACCAGGGAGAAAGTCATTAGTCATATCTATTGGTGCAGTAAACACTTGTGAAGTCAAGCCATTGATGCAGTGTGAGGGTCTTAGATAATCATGTCAACTACATAGTCAATATTCGCTACTTGTGAAAGTCTGTTTTAAACAGCTGTAGCTGTCTTTTTCTAAAGATGTTGAAAATATAAATGCACCTTATGTTTGGTTTATATATGGAGTGGGGTGATTCTTTGAAACTACCTGACATTGAGCCAATTCTTCTGCTAGCGCAATATTCTCAGCCCTTAGTTTGGATAGTTCATTGACCCCCCTAGGTGAAGCCATGTTGATTTGTCAAGGGTCTCCTCACTTCATTGCCTCAAGAATCAATTCAGCATCATAGGTTCATACTTGATGACTGTGAACATCATTTTTCTGGAAAATTAAATATATGCAATATGTCAGATAAATTTGGTGCAAATTAGACAACAATTAAGAAACCTGAATTACCAGTAATACAATGGTATAACTAGAAAACAGCAACCCCACGGAGTAGCAAATCCTACTGAACAAAACTCTTGAAGATTTGTTCTTGAACAGAGCTCCCTAATATCCCTAGGTATCAGCATATACAATTTAAGCCAAATCCATTCACTAAGTATTTGAGTTATCAAAGATTACGTTATTTTACGAAAAATGGCAGCCATTTTGAAATTAAGCTTTCATCTAGAAAATTTATTCCTTTATCCCTAGGCATCGGCATATAGAATTTGAAGCAAATCTGTCCACTGGTATTTGAGTTATCAAAGATTTCATTTTTCTTTACTAAAATGATGGCCATTTTGAAATTCAGCTGTCATCTTGAAAATTTCTTTTCAAGCAGAGCTCCTTTATCTCTAAGCATCAGCATATAAAATTTGAAAATTTGAAGGTATTTGAGTAAAACTTAGTGAACAACTGAGGCAATAGTGATAAATAGCCCAACTAGAGTTGGCAGTCTTGAAATAGACTTGAATCTTCTTTCCAATGAATCCTAAAGCCTAGGCCTAGCCTAGTTGATACCTAGACTATCCTTCACAGAACAATTACTCCAATCATGGGCTTTCAACTAGAAGGGTAGGTAACTTTCCATATTAAATTTCATTTAAGTATTGCCTTTGGATTTTCAAAATTTGAGAATGTACATATTCCAAGAAAATCTTATTTTGTACTGATTTAAAGAAATAACTCAAAAATAAAAACATGATTATCTACATATATGTTGATAATTTACTAAAAAATTAAATTCATCATAGTTATGACAATACAGAAAGTGAACATTCTCCCATAAATTATGTTTTTATTGGAATATGTTCTTGAATAATTACCCACAATGCAAGACTCGAAGAGAACATCTTGATACCTCTTCTTCTTATTGGTCTTTTTGTTCACACACCGGGAACACCATTTGAAAAAAAGCTGGCTGGCGTGTCATAAATTTATCAAATATTTTAAAAATCGCCAGATAAATAAATCATTAATTAAAATGGGACCAGCAAAGCTCCTTGAGATTGCATGATTTCGTCTAAAATTAAAACAAATGGCTCCAAGAAAACTGGCAATATTCGAAAACTGGACGAAATGTCTTAAAACTTGCAATTAAAATTGTGATGTGGAAAAATGGCGGACATTTGATTTCAAATTTTATGATTACGACATGACTCGTATACATGCAGGGATTTTTCTTTGGACGAAGGTCACGATCCAGGTATTTAAAATTGTTCATGGTATTGACAGAGTAAATGCAGAGATATTCTTTAATCAGTCAACAGTGAGATATACAAGAGGGCATGACTTTAAACTATACCAGGAAAGATCTAGGCTCAATCTTAGAAAGCACTTCTTCTCCCAAAGAGTGATAGCAGACTGGAACAGCCTGCCTGTGAAAGCAGTATGTGCGCCAACCCTGGAAACCTTTAAGAAGAGGATGGATGATCACTGGAAGAGGGAGCACTATATGCTATAGGTTTCTTTTGTTTTGGTCTTGTTCAATGAAATGAGAAGCCAGGTGGCTTAAGTAATGAGAGGACGACATCACTGGCTTAGTCCACTACGTCCTTATGATGATGATGATGATGATGATGATGATGATGATGATGATGAGACACAGAGTGGCCTTAGAAGAAGGTAAGTCCGAATCACTTCTTAAAATTTCACAGGAAACAGGTTACTCTGAAATATCTAAATTTTGAAAAAGTGAGAATTAGGCCATTACTACCTTGCTTAAGGGGTGTATACACTGGCAAGCGAATTGCTTGAAATGGGGGGCGAAAAGGCCGAAATGCTTGAAATGGTTGAAATGAAAGAAAATGTAAAAACGGCTTAGGCGAATTGATTGAAATGCTTGAAACGGCGAAACAGGCGCAAGCAGCGAAACAGTAATTTCATATTTCAAGATGTATCGATTGAATTGATTGAAACGGTTGAAAACCCCCGGCGAAATGCTTGAAACGAAAAACGTGCATGTTCGTTTTTCTTTTCAATCGTTTCGCCCGTTTCCTCGTGAATTCGTCGTTCGATTGAAATGCTTGAAAAGGCGAAACAGGCGCATACAGCGAAACTTTAAATTCATTTCAAAGGCGAATCGATTGAAACGATTGATATGCTCGAAATGACGCAAGCATTGAAACGTAGGAAATGATGCAAGCATTGAAACGATTGAAGCGATTGAAACAATTGAAACCATTGAAAATCTATTTATAGTGTATACGGGGCTTTAGGGCAATGGCAGACACTGGCAATTTTTCAATCTTTTTATAAAAATAATTTTAATTTAGTTCCTAGATCTAGAACTCGCTCAGATGTGGACTCAATTATTCTCAAAATACGATTCTTGTCTCACAGATTTTTTCGCTAGATTCAGCTGTCATTTACTGCTATCAGGTTACATAAGATTTATGACTTACCTAGCCAAGAAAACTCATTTAAATTGATTGTGAAGAAAATTATGTTTTTCTTGTTTTTGAATTTTCCACCAAACGTAAAGAAGTAAGAGTTGTCGCAAAAATCTATACCTAAAATCCGAACAAAAGCGCGTTTTATGTTTACCCAGAAAGGTGTTCTTTAACTTCTATTATGTGGCTTAAGGAGTCGCTCCTACTCATTCTATTTTTACAAAAGCTAAATATGCAATCAGAAAGGAACTTCAAGGTTCTTGTGAAAAATACCCAGTTATTGCGGATTGATGGCCCAGTTCATACGAAGTTAGGTATTTACGCTTATACTTTTCGATCAATGCTAGCTGACTATTAGCTGTTCGTTATTTCAACGCAGCATTCAAAATGGCGATAAAAATCAAACTTTTTTTCAAATGAAAAATTGTTGAAAAAGTACCTTGTTTATGATATCAAGACCAGAAATGCTGCTCTTTTTGTGTAGTGTTTGTTGTGAGGAATATCCGAAATGAAGAAGGCTGTGGTCAAACCACCAGATGCCAAGCCAGAGCTCGATAAAATCAAACGGGTTTATCGGTGAGTTTTTTTATTTATTTTTTGAGATCACAAATCTTACAATATCCTCTGCCTCGCTGTCAAGTGGGATTCGCTCATAGATCCTGGCCAGATTCTTTTGTAGTAGGACCAGAAGCTCAAAGAATAATTCGGAAGATATGTCACCTTAGAAAATTTCAAATGACTATTGTGCAGCCATTTCAGAAAAATATGAGACAAATCATACCTCATTTGAAGTGTCTTGTTATTCGTTAACCGTTTTATCACCAATGAACGTTATTCAAGCAATACTGTGTTGATAAGAGGCAAAAACAGTGATATTTTATTTGGCTCTTGTCTGTCCAAATCTGAATGTTTCTCCCGTGATTCCTGAAATGTGACGTCAGAATTACAATGATATTTAGACACACAAGAGCAGGTACCATTTTGTATAAGGAACGTTGAAATTTTCCAATTTAGTGACGCATCTTCTGCTTTAAGTTATATATATAACTTTTATTGATATGTTGTATCATTACATGTACATAGTTTTGTCATGAGATGGAGGATTGGTTTTTTCATGGACTTTTTCTTGAAATTCCATGGTTTTCTTTATCAAATTATGGTAGTGTGGATCAGATCTATTCTTGGAAGGAATGTAGAATGTCACTTGACTTTTTGGTGATTTTGACATCATGTCTGCACTTAACAGTTAAAATAACTTCATAGTAGTTTGACATCACCTTCTAATTTGCCTCATTGACCTTTTATTGTTTCTTAAACTGTATATTCTCTCAAAACCAGGAAATTAGGTGAGAAATTGATGAGCAGGGAAATTTTGAAGGGAAGTTCAGTCACAAAAAATAATGAGTGACAACTTCCACTTCCTCCAAGTTTAGTGTTGTCGCAATTAACTAATTCTGGCGATGCATTGATGTCTGAAACAAAACATAGATGTTTTTAAAAAAAATTGATTTAAATCTGATAAAGATCACCTTTTCATATCTCGTTATCATGCATATGTCTTTACCTTTCTCATTCATTAGTTCCTTTCCAATCTTCTCTAATATGCTTTCACTTTAGAAATGTTTTACCTTGGTGAAATTAAAAGAGATTAAATTAAATTTAATCTAAATTAGATTAAATTAAATAGATTAAATTTAATTTTCTCCTTTTTTATATGTTCTGTGCATATTCATTAAAGAAGTTTATTTTTAGACAAATATCCAGACTTCATTTTCATTATTCAGTTCTACATAAGGGAAGGCATCAAAAGATCAATGTCTGATAGAAAACTAAATAAATCTAGTTTGGGGGGGTCAAAGCTATTTCAGTTTGCTATCCGACAAATTTCAACATATAAATTTTTTGCAATTTCAACTCAAAATGGCTTGGAATGGTTTAAAAAAATAAAGACTTTACCAGATGGCTTCTTCACCAAGATGCATGCAACATGGAATATTATGCCTATTGTTGATGGCACATGTTTTGAGAATCATAAATAAGTTATAGTACTGCCGCCATTAAAGTCCAAATTGAAAGTCCGCGATCAACTTTCATTGTATTTAGTTTTGAGGGGGAGGGGGGGGGGTCCAACTCAAAACTAGATTTATTTAGTTTCCTAACAGACATTGAACTTTTGATGCCTCCCCTAACATTCATTAATTCTATCAACAAAAATTACATTCTTAAATGCCAACTGTACATGTAATAAACTTTCAGAGCTGCTGTCGATACAATCAAGCGTCTAGATGACATCACCAAACAGAAGAAATCTTACAAGGAAATATTCTCAGCAGATGCCATTGGTCTACGTGGAAAGTAAGTAGGAAAATCATTACTGTTACTTTACAGTAGGTCACTGAATTTGAGAGTGTTTTTGTAGCAGTTCCTGTCTGGTCATCCAAAATCAGGTCATCAATCAAAACTTTTCTTCTACATGTACATATATTTTTGCAATTTTAAAGAAAAAAGCGCCTCACCTGGGTTCCAGTTTTTTCACCAAAAACAATTGATCTGGTTAGTAGGGAGTCAACAAAAGAAAGTTCAAAAAGTCCATTGTTATCATATCTTGTATTACAACTATTGATTCATAAATTCTGGAACAATCAATTTGCATGTATGAGCCTTAGCCATGTTTATTATGATGTTTCTGTGACATCATTCTTGAAAAATAATGTCACATTGTAGGTTGCGAGACTACTGTGAGCGGCTGATGTTTTATGACCCAGTGGAGTATGGACGCAAGGCTGAGGAACTGTTGTGGCGTAAAGTCTTCTATGACATCATACAGCTCATGAAGCAGAACAAGAAGGTAACATTCTATTCTTTTTCATTTTTATTAGGTTATAGCAAATTAATCTGTTTGTTTCAGTTTCAGTTACAGTAGTAACAACTACTTTCAATCTTCAGGATCCATTTATGTGGTAGATCCAAAAAGCAATTTGCCATTCATGATTTCATTTTCATTGAGTCTGTACTTTTACTTTTCTTATTTGTCAGTCAGTAAGAGTGAAACAGATTGTCAGTTCGATCGATGGTTGCAGGCTGTATATTTTCACCAAAGAGCCGCCATTTTATATAAGGCTCCTACCTTTTCACATGTGGCAAACTAACAATGGTAGCACTGTTTATACACTTTCCAGCACATGAGACCAGGTAACTCTATGCAGACAGCATTCAGAACACATCTTGCTGCAGCTGAGGGCTTCTACCACCATCTCATCTTCAAGCTGCAGAAGGAGTACCATGTAGATGTCTGTGGCCTGGTTGACTGTCATCTGTTACCTGAGCCTAGATCTCGTAATATTTTTTTGATTATCCAATTTCTTAATGGCATGAAAATTAATTTCCATATTTTCATTCAACTTTGTACATCACCCTATTTGTTTGAAAATCTGACATTTAAACTATCATGTGCAAAAAATTACACTTGTGCACATTTTTGACACATTTATGAATCTAAACTTGAGAAATGTTGTATTTCTTTACTGCAGACAAGAAGCACCACCCCCAGAAGAGGTCTGACATTGATCCTGCAGTACATGAATGGGCAATGAGGGCATGCCACCGTTGCCTTGTCTACTTGGGGGACTTAGCCAGATATGCTCAAGACATTGAAGGCCTGAAAAGTGTCATCTTATCTGAAAGGTAAACCCACTCATGGGATTGTTATTTTGTTTTTAACTTTCCTAATAGATAGTGAAGTTTTATGAACACAAGAAGCTGAATTGAAATAATGGCAAGAGTGGGGTTTGTGTATTTGAGAGTACCACGATTGAATTTTAATAAAGGATAATTATGCTGGTTTACTTTAACTCACCATTTGGTAATTGACTCATTTTGATAATCAAGAGGCAGTGACATATTATTATAGTTTTGTATTTGCGACCTGAATTCAGCATCATCAATTGATGATCGGTTGTCAGCATCAACATTTCGCTTCTGTAACACATTTTTACATTTTATAACCAATTGCAATAACTTTTCATGTGGTAACATTTTTCGTGTTAATACCTTGAATAAAAATTCTTGTTTGAATATTGACATATTTTCATTGGAACTTGTTATAACATGTATTCCTAGGTGTTACTACCAGGCCATTGCCCTCTATCCCACCTATGGCATGCCACACAACCAACTAGGCACTTTAGTAGGAACCAAGCACTATAACTGTGAGGCTGCATACCATTATATGCGATGGTAAATAACTATGTTTTAATCAAAATCAGTGAAGAATTGGAATTTTTGCTTTATGGTGTAAAGATCAGGTTCATTAGCCAGGTACATTGGGGATAGTGTTCAAATATTGACACTTGTGGAAAAACCAAATTAATTTCCTTGCAAATGAATGATTATTTTGTTTATTATTGATTCATGAAAAAAATTCTGGTAATATCAGGTGAATAGAAAATTAAAGGGCCATTGTGTAAATGATATGATAATTTTTGGATGCAGTCCCTAAAGTCCATTGACTTGTTCGTAACACTGCTATCAGAATTTCCAGTTATACATATGAAAAGTCATAAGACGTGCATTATTTTTTAATATAGTTTATTTCTGAATAATACTATGTTCTACAAATATCAAACACAATCACCTCAAAATATTTCAAAATTACAAAAAAAAATACACTGCATTATAAATGTGTATGATGGTACTTTTTTGATAATTTTTACAGTTTACTATGCACTAATATCTTCGAGGGAGCATCAGGAAATCTCCAAAGATTATTTGAGAAGAACCGGAAACGTTATGAAGAGCTCTCTAAAGTCTCTCCTAGAGATCTTCCTCCTGAGTTACAAAGGTATGTCATATACTTGAAGTTACATTGTTACATACAGTACAGTGTACCATAAAATAGTTACAAATGTATGCCTTATAGTTACATTGTTATATACAGTACAGTGTACCATAAAATAGTTCCAAAGGTGTGTCATATAGTTACATTGTTACATACAGTACAGTGTACCATAAAATAGTTACAAATGTATGCCATATAGTTACATTGTTATATACATTACAGTGTACCATAAAATAGTTCCAAAGGTGTGTCATATAGTTACATTGTTACATACAGTACAGTGTACCATAAAATAGTTACAAATGTATGCCATATAGTAACATTGTTATATACAGTAGTGTACCATAAAATAGTTCCAAAGGTGTGTCATATGATTAAAATTGTTGTTCAAAATTTGTTTATTGACTTTTTTTGTATTTAGAAAACACTTGAGTATTTAAGTGAATAGTTAAACTGAATTCTGGCAATGATTCAGGTGGTTTAAATTTATTGCCTTTTACTAAGAAGTGTTTTGACAAATAATTTATTTTTCTGAAAAATATTTACTCTAAAATCTGATTAAAACAGCTACACACACAAATATCTTAAAAAGTAACATTTAAGATATTTTATGGTACCCATTTTGCACACCACAGTTCTCAAAAAACATACAACTAACATATTGCATAATGTTCACTTAGAAATTGTTGCAAATATGAGAAATATGCGGTTCAATAAATATGCTTAAACATTTTGCATAGAAATACCTTCCCCTAAAATGACTTAAATATTACTGACTTTTTGAATTCAAAATCAGGCTAAATTGCTTCCTTTTAAAAATGGATAAACCAACAGAGACTTTCTCCCTCCCCAAATGAATTATAATTCTGTTTATGGCCATTCATCTTTTTGGCTTTATCCCTTACAGCTGTGATATTGTGTAATAGTTGTGCAATAATTTGAGTATCTTGAGTATTATATACTAAGTAGTACTTTGAGTATCTTGGATAATAGTACATTTATTTGTAATATCACTGGGCTTATAAGCGACTGGAGTCCTAAACTAACAATACAGTTGTATAGATCTATTCACCCAATATTCGATGCTCTCCCCAGGATTTTTTGTGTGGTGGATTTTGTTATTTCTTTAGCGCAACATTTTAGTATTTAGTAATTTTTTGTGCAACAGTTTATGGTTTTGTCATTTTTTGTGCGACATTTTATGATTTTCTTATTCTCAATTGTAACATTTAGAGGCATATCTTATTGCATCGAGGAGCATTTTTGTTTTATAAAAAACAGAGGTGCTGTGTCTCAGAGATTTCAATGTGGGGAGAGCACTGATATCTGTCATAATACGATTTCACAAATGTAAGTCAAAGTGTACATGCGGGACATGTCTATTCCTAATTGTTTCAAGTTCAGTTGGAATTTCACTCATTCTATTTTCCCCATGAGCAACGGATTCCACAGACATATCTACAACCACCAAAGCCACATTGAACCCAACAGTAATATCTACATCCTCTCCTAACTCTGACATCACCTGAAGATAGATGAACACATCGTGTGCAAGCTTTAACATACTCTACATATGAGTTATACACAAAGATTGATTTGATATACTCTATCTATCCCCACCAGTGAATAATGAATACATCCCATGATCACTACAATGTTTAATTGATAAACGTGCTATATTCTTTCATTTCATGTGCTTGTATAGATCTGTTTTTTATATCTGTTTCTTTTCTATTTTAGTTTTTGTATTTGTATCTTCAAATGTTATGATAGTTTTTCAAACTAAATCAAACAATTTTCATGATACTTCTTGAAAATGTAATTTAACTTACGTTTTGCCATTCTACTCTCTGATGTATCTGATTGCTCTTGTGTCTTGTCACTCTGTTCCTCTTTGGATGTGTTCTCATTCTCTTTGGCATCAGGTTCTTCCCCCAGGCCCTCTCTCACCACATCTTCTGGAGCAGGGATCAGCCAGTAAAGTGGCAGTCCCTCACATGCCTCTCGTACATGTTGACTTAGGAAGGTTCTGTCTTTGACAGTTTCATCAGCAGGCATGAGTTTTGGAACATTTGTCAAGTCTTCAGGGGTTTCTATGTCAACTTTGCCATCCTATATGAGATAAATATATTGTACAAGCAATGAATATAACAACAAATATCTGATGAATTACCTTGACATTTGTTACTCAACTCAATAGCAGTTTACAAGATCAATTTAAATGATAACATTCTGACATCCAGCAAAATACTTTGAAAGCAATGCTGTAGTGCATTACTGTAGTGCATTACTGTCATGCAATTATGAGTGACCACTTTTTTACCTCAAATTTCTGGAGTCATCTTAACGTTTGCACTCATTTTAATGTAATATAATGACAGTCTATGGTAATTAAGTCTCCACTTACTGGATGGTGCTGCAGGAAACTCTCTGTTGCCTCAGGTGTTAGCTCATCCTGGCTAATAGGTGTAATATAACAGCCATACACATCTCCAATACGAGTCTTTAATACTGTCAGCCCCTGAATTCACACACAATACAGCCATTCTTAGGTAATTCTTAGCCAGCTTTAGGTAATTGAAGCACAAACAACAAACTGCAAGCTTGTTCTTTATCCTATACATTTTAATGTTCACATTATTGACAGTGTAAGTTTATTTATAGTTTACAGTGTTTCAATTAAGAATCCCTGACATCCACAAATTTATTACTACATTTAAGCCAAATATTTGCATAATTAACTGTTTTAATTCAGTTACTCAGTCTGCTGTTGTGGATTATTTGGGTGGGATACCTTTTTATTATCATAGACACAGAACAGTTCTCTGTGTATATCAGACTTAGTATACAAAAGCAGTTACCTTCTTGAAGTCATTGAACACAGCAAGGTCAAGGTCTGGAGTGTCGACTTCTGTCATTCCATTCTGTTTGTCCACCTTTACAGTCTCACTTGTCTCCTCATTCTCATTGTCTCTTACAGTGATGTGGTACTCCTGGAAAGTAAATCATAAACTCATTTGGCTAAAACTACATGACACATGTTTTGTTTTTCAAACCTCATTCCCATTGTCTCCTACTGTGATGTGGTATTCCCGGAAAGTAAATCATAAACTCATTTGGCTTAAACTACAAAACTCATGTTTACAGTTCATCTTATAATGTTTTGCACGTAACTTCAAGAATTGGTTCTCCTTGATAATTTTTTACATTGTATTTATCTATCTTGACTTAAAAGTTTTGTAATCTAAAAAATGTAAAAATATTATGTAGCTGTATTGAGTTAATGAATGTACATGTATGTTAAAATATGTATATTTATATATTCTACACATACTCTTACAAACAAATAATGTAGATGTGTTACCTTTATTGCTTCCTCTGTGTATTTATGTGTTAGTTTCACTATGGCGAACACTGCCCCCAATGTTATCAGCAACACCAGAACACCTGTAACTGCTCTTATCAAATACTTTTTGGTCTTGTTGCGCGATGTTTTCACTGGTTCTTGTGACTCCTACAATATTTTAGGCCAAATTCAGAATATTTCAAAATATTTTTATGTACACAAATGCATAGCATGTAGAAAGTGAATGTTTACTATAATTAATAAAGGATAAAATTGATAAAAATATGTGATAAGTTATCATAAAAATGCATCAAATTTTTTTTAGTTTAGTAACATCATAATGATATCAAAAGATTTATGATAACAATACAAATATTTATAAGATTCACGGAAAAAAATAACAAGAACAATATTATTTTGTATGTAAAATTGTATGTAAAATACATCTAATGAATTACCTGTATTATAATTGGCTCTGGTTCTGGAAGGTGTATCATACTTGGCAATGCTTTCTTCTCTGAATCCATGGTTGCGTCTCTTTAATTTCAGGTACTTTTAATCTAGGATGGTTTCCTCTGAAGTCACTGTGTTTTGTATGATGGTGAATGCTGCTTTAATTCTATAAACGTTTGTCTTTCATCAATGATCAGATTATTTTATGAGCATTTTTGGAATTGTGTTTATATAGTCTAACAATACGTGTCAATCGAGATTTGTCCGGGAGAATTTGTTTGTTTAGAATTAATAAATCAAATAAAATTTTCTTGATCTATCAGGATTAAAGTTATTTATAAGGTTAAGATCTTGACACTTGTTTTGATAAAACTAATTTCCTTATTTTGTTGTTGTTCATTTTGAAAACTACTTGACTCTATTCGAGTAGAAATTCAGTTGAACATAAGTAATGACTTAAACATTATTGTAAGTTTATTGGTCAAACTAATATGTGGTCCAATCACTATACGGTTCAGGTATTCTTGGTAGTTCTGCTTTGGTCCTATTTATCTCAGGCCCGTATCAGAGGGGGTTTGGGGGTGGTTAAGTGTTTAGATAGATGTGTATTAGTTTTCTTAGTAAAATCAAATTTAAATCAAAAGCTACTATCAACGAGAATTAGATGAGCAAAACCATTTGTGAAGAATCACCTTGTATGGACAGATTATTTCAAATTTTATTAAACATGGCAGAAATATCAACATATCTTGTAGTAAAAAGAATTTCAAATTGAAAAACTGCATTGAAAATTGTTTAGTATTCACACGTTTAATTATTTTGCTGAATTTGAAATACTTGAAAATTTATAGGTTCTTAAAGTACACCTTGAGTATCATTGATGAATTCCTGATAAACATCACAATACAGACACATAAATCATTGTGTGCAAATATTGTTGTTGTTTCAAGTTCCTGGTCTATTTTTATATAGCACTTTCAAAAAATTTGTAATGTCATCTTGTGCTGCTTAACTTGCAGGTGCATGAGTGCCACATCAATTCATCAGACTCAGATTCCAGGAACAACTAATTCAGTGAACTTGAAATTTTTTTAGATGCAAGTGTAGACTAGTCCCTTGATCTGATGGTGGCCATTTTGCTCTTAAATGTGCAATATCACTGTGTGCCTGGTGTTAATTTTGAGGTATTTTACTTTCAATTAGAATGTAAATCCTGCCCTGATAACTGATGTACTGTAAAATACACATGGAAGGACCATGTGAGGTATTGCTTTCACAATAAGTACTTTCTTGCCATAAATAGAGTGGTGTTTTCTTTCAAGTGAAGTCTCCATGATAGTAAAATATAATTTTACTCAACTCTCTGAAATAATGAATTGGAACCTCACCTTGGCATCTTTTTGAAAATGTTTTTCTCAATTTAAATGTATCAAAAGTTTCTTTTATACTACATTAACGATTTCTGAAAAGGGGATGGAGTTTGAAATGCGCTTAAGTTATAAAACACACATCCCATGTTATTTGCCCCTAGGGAAAACTTGTGCTATCCATTGTTTTAAGCAGTTTTTCAAACCATTCTACTTCTGAAGAAGTTTTAGACCCCTTGTTAATTGGTTTAACATTTTGAAAAAATTGTTGATACGGGGTCCCTATTCATAATTTTTTGAATTAATTGTTCGATTAATATTTTAAACATTATGGGAACTTCATTTGAAAGAAAACATATTGTTTGAATAAAAACCACTGTATTTTGGCCAGAAAGTACTCATGGTGAAAGATATGACTCTCTAAAATCACTCGCAATACCTCATATGGACCTTTCCCATTTCTGAGCTTGAGAGCTAAGTACATGTACTTTAGGTTACATAAGTTTGTGACAGCTACTGTTGACCCTTTTCCATATAAATGGCAAAATAGATGGCTTCATGGGTGTTGGTAGGGCTAGAAATGCCAAGAATTCACGGTAATGTTTTGGGAAGGGTCAGTTAGTTTCATGATCTAACAAGTTATTCCATTTGTATCAACTTAAAACACCATTGAAATGTAACTATATGATCTTGTTGACATGTGGATTTTGAATCTCATTATAAAGGTAATCTCATTAAGAACGAGACTTTAACAAGATTTTAAAGCTATATGGAAAAAGGACCATGCATGACAAATATGACTCATTAATACTTAGCCATTATGTCCCTATCATTGAATATATGCCTGAGGTCTGACGTCAATATAGCCCGAGCTTGCGAGGGTTATATTACGACAGACCGAAGGCATATATTCAATGATACGGACATAATTGTTGTATTACATACCTAAAGTACATTTTACATTACATTTCATGAATATAATATGTAGAAATGCGTGAAAAAAGACAAAAATGCTTTGTTTTCATGTTATATCAATGACATCACACGTCTGTGTGCGATTGGAACATGTAAGAAATGAAATGTGACGTCATACGATTGTCACGGTAAAAAGTTTGGCGGCTATACAGGAATATATAGCCGTCCTTCAGCTCCATTGACTTCCATACAAATGCTTCGCTAGGTATGTAATACTTGATATAATTTCTTGGTAAACCAGTGAAGTAAATTTTTGTGAAAATCTAAATAACAATGCCTTTTAGCTCACATGGGTGAGCTATTGTTTTTTAAACATCAGTCTTTATTTTCTTTATTGTCATGATTCATGTGCATTTTATGGACTGATGAGCTCTATCAAAGGTAGAAGTATGGAAGTGCGCAAAATGACCCTGGAGCTCAAAAACATAAAGAAATTGAATAATCTCTCATACCCCCCCCCCACTAAGCTTGTACTGTATTTAGAGGTTATGTCACTACACTATCATGGCATATGTGCCCAAGGTTTTCAGTAATATATGTACAGACCTTGGGAGGGTCATTGATCTCTGAGAAACGAGGGAATATGTACCACAATAAATGATAAGTGATTTATAACATACCTATGATGATGTAGAGTCATCAGAGAGTATCGTTTTCTTATCTAATTCACGAATAAATGGTTGAGAAAACAATAAACTGATGGTGTGTTCCCGATTCTGCGTTTGACCGTGTAATGCATCACTATGTGCGATCAATTGAAGATAAAACCATGTGATCAGTTTTTCCATGGGCTTTCAGATTAAAAGCCCATGGTTTTTCTAAACCTACAACTTAAGCACTTTAGGTGCACACATTTATCAATAAACAAGATTAATAAATGACATAAATATTTATGTGTTTTGGAGTTGGCTTAGATCACTAGATATTCATACAGTTATTCCTATCTCGTAAGTGATGTATAGATGGCACAACTGCATAGGTGAGTTAATGTTAATTTACAAAGATCATGTGATAAGGAGGAAATGTCACGTGACTACAATTGGCAGGAATCAGTTTGCGAACTCACAACCTGGAAAGCCCACCAGCCTCCCCAGCACCAACCAAAGTACATGTAAGGAACAGGTTAATGTACTGCAACTAAAGTAAGTAAAAACATATATCAAATATATCGTGTATTATAATATATTTCTGAGCGATAGGGACCCCTTCGGTATAAGTATATAGTATTAAATTGAGATAGATTAACTAATGTTTCTGTAAGAATTATGTTGAAATCATGTAAACCCAATAATTGATTTAACATATTGGGTTAAAATAGTGATCAAGCGACTCCAAACCGCACACAACTCAAATAAATATAAATAATTTTATATGAAATTATTGGAGATCGTGTGTTAGATGAAATAAATGGTGATAAAAGTGTGTTTAGAAAAATTGCTCACTTATTTTTATCTTTGGTTGATCAGTAAGTATGTGCGCTGTAGTCCCAGTGCCTTGGTAAATCAGAAACTTAGCATCGGCTTTTCAAACCATATATTGGCCCGCTGTCTTGTGAACAGTTTACACCATACATCATCTTAGGTGAGTTATGAATATCATTTCGATACATTTTAGAAACACATACCCATAAAATGATTTTTGAACATTTTTTTATTCATTCTTTAAATTTGAAATTACTTTCTTTTAGAAATCAATAAACCAACGAAATAGAGACTTCCCCCTCCCCAATGCATAGTGATTGTGTTTGTAGCCATACATGTTTATTGTCTTTGTCCCTTGAATCAGCGATATTATGGAATAATGGAGTAACAATTTTAGTATCTTGAGTAAATGCTACTTTGAGTTTCTTGGATAGTAGCACATTTATTTGTTATATCATACATGTATAAGTGACTGGAGTCATAAGCTAACAATACAGTAGTATATCTGCATCAACACAATCTTTTATAATATGAATCACAGATGTCACTCAGTGTACATACAAGGCATAAATTGTTTCAAGTTCAGCTGAGGTTTTATTCAGTCTATTTTCCACTGTGTATAACCCAAACGCTTCTAGATTCACACAAGATTGTTTCACTTCTAAATCCAGTGAAACACTACAGAACGAGAAAAAATGCTGTTGGAAATGACATACCATCCAATGATTTCGATAACAAATGGGCATGAAAGGTATGTTTTACGTGTTTTACTTGGCTGACTATTGAGGATTGAAGCAATTGGTAAAGCTGTACAAAGCAACTATGATCATCAAAATTCATAAGTGTATTTGTCAGTCTTTAAGTAGAAACCCTTTGTGTTAACTCTTATGATTAGTTGAGTCAAAATTAGATCATTGAAGTATACTTTGGTCAAATTTCAATGGTAAAAGATACCATAGATTATCATATTGTAATTAATCTAGTATAAAAATGATGATATTTTCACATTCAAGATGTCTAACTCTTCTCTAATTATCTGCATATATACTCTGAATATATATCAGTAAGGCATGTATGAAGAATTCCTGAAAGTTTGGGTCTTATCCAACAGAATTTGGTAGAGATATGGGATAATTTGATCTACTCACACACAGGCATTTTATGTCTCAAAGGCTCGTCCGCTACAGGCGCTGCGATCAGTCAGCCGTTCTGCCGTTTTGGAAATAAAGCTTACATTTTTCTGATTTAATTTTTTTTAAGAATATGTTTTCTCCGGAAACTACATGGATTAACATTGTTTTTCTTTCGAAAATCAGCAGTAAAACTTGTGGACCAGTCAGCTATTTTTTTCTCTTACTGTAATTTGAATTTTAAAATTCTGCCACGATAAAGACACAATATCTAATCAATCAATCGAGTTTCAAATTTTAAAAAGATTTGTCCATAAATGAAGAAATGCCATGGATGCAAAAAATGTTATGTTTCCATCAAATCTTATCTGACGGTGCAGTTTCTATTTTACGAAAGAAATTGTTTCTCCGTCGAGAAGTCGTAACTTTACTTATATTGAACCTATCAATTTTAAATAAAGAGATTAAAATATGTAATTATTAAGAAACACAGTGATATTATGCCTGAATAACAATATGAATTATGAAAGATAATTATAGTATGATAAAATCCATGGGTTGTAGTTTTATATCTGCACAATATTTATATACTTTGCAAAGGACATTGCTATGCACAACATCAACCTAGCGGAGAGCTTTTATAATGTAAAATGCCAGTGTTTGACTAGTTTCATAGAAAGCTTGATAGTACTACGAAAGGGGGCGTGGCTGTTTTTTAAATGACTGATTAACTATCGACTGATAAAGAAATTTTGAAGAGAAATTATGTAGTTTTAGGGACAAATTATCCCATATCTCTACCAAATTTTGTTAGATAAGACCCAAACTTACAGGAATTCTTTATACACGCCTTACTGATATATTAACAATGTTTCATTATAATTGCAACAACCCTAAATGAGATATTAAATAGTTTCAAGCATATGGTCAAAATCCAACTCGAAAATGATAAAATTTGCTGACTCAGCACTTTTGAGCCTGCTTTGCAAGGGTTCACAAACTTTTTTTACATGCCTTGGGGTCCCCTACAAGAATCTAAAGTCAAATTGAATCTAGGTGTTTTGGACACAAATAGCCTTGGCCATAACACTATGATGTTTTCCTACAAATGTTGGCTCAATTTATCATTTAAGCTCAATTCATCAACTTCAGATTAGTTGGATCCATCCATATCCATACTACAGAGCTTTGATCAAGCAAATAACAGTCTACCACCGCACCAGAAGCTGAATAAATAAGATCTTTGCCCAGGGTATTGTTCAGTGAATGGACATAATATGTCACAATAGATTATGGCATGTAAGAGAAACAAGTGAAACAATACTTAAGATCATCATGAGATATTCATTAGCCACCATTTTGTTTTGCTTTGCTCCGGAACTTATTCCCCCTACGCAACGGCAGATTCTTCTGACAATTCCACCAATAGGTGTATAGTAGCAGATATATTTACATGCTCGCCTTACTCTGACGTCACCTGGATGTAGATACATTTATCATGTGCTAATTTTTACATATTTTGCATGTACACAAAGATTGACGATTTGATATTCTCTAAAATTATCTATCCTGACTAGTAAATAATAAGTTTATAAACATGCTTCATCCTTTTACTTATAATACTTTTTAACATAATATAATAGTTAATGTATAGCGAATAGGCATAAAACAGTGGGCCATACTTCAGTACCCAATATCTCCATAACCCTCTCACCTCTACTTCTAAAAATGTGCACATGTGAAATCAGTAATCTGTAACATATGAAAATGAAATTTCAATTTTTCCTTAAAAATTTCTTTTTATGGGATCAAAATCAAAAACATGAGTCGAAAATGCATGTTCCAGGTAATTTCAATATGAAATCAATCCTTGTTACACTTGAAACATTGATCAGTTGGTCTTTCAGCTTAGTAACATGTGAAGAAAAGATTGTGCACAATGTTCTTTTCAAGAAATGATTGAGTTACAAATGTACTTTAGTTATTGTTGGATTGTAAAGGTAATTGGTTGATACAGAGCTTTGATTAAAGCACAACCTTTTACAGCCTTCACCAGAAGTTGAATAAGGTCTATGGTCTGTGCTTAGGCATTGGTCATCGAACAGTACATGATATGTTACTCCAATGTATGATATCAAATTTGCTAAAGGACACATTCACTTCGCAGTTTTGTTTCACCATGTGCAATTTAAATGCTTTTATATCTACTTTGCAGCTTTTTATTCACTATCATAGCTTAATAAACTGGTGGAGAAATTGATTGCACAATAGCCATACTTATGGTCTCACTTGCTTCTCGTACATGTTAGGGTACTTCGGAACTTAGTTATTGAACTTCTAGTGATGAAGAGTTATATTCTTTAATCAAATCTCTGTACCAAGCTATAGCCTTAAATATTAAACAATATAGTAAAGTTCATTTATAACTTAATCATTTCAAAGATTACTGGTTTTACATGTGCAAAGTTTTAGAAGTAGAGATAAGAGAGTTATGTATATCGGGTGCTGAAGTAAGGCCCATTTTTGTGTTTCTGTCTTTTTGGTCTGTATCTGCAAAGATTGTGATAGTTTCTAGTTTTAACTTACGTTTTACCATTCTTCTCTGTGTTGTCTCTGATTGTTCTTGCGTTTTGTCACTCTGTTCCTCTTGTGATGTGTCATCATCCTCTCTCCCACCCACCATGTCATCACTCTCTTCCCCTTGGCCCTCTCTCACCACTTCTTCTGGAGCAGGAATCAGCCAGTAAAGTGGCAGTCCCTCACATGCCTCTCGTACATGTTGACTTAGGAAGTTTCTGTCTTTGACAGTTTCATCAGCAGGCATGAGTTTTGGAACATTTGTCAAGTCTTCAGGAGTTTCTAAGTCAACTTTGCCATTCTATATGAGACAAATATATGGTACATGCAGTGAAATTAACAATAAATAACACACCGACATTTGAACTCGGAATCCTACAAATACTCGGACTTCAGCAAACATGAGGTTTGGGCAAATTAGGTTCAATTCTTATGCCGGGCATAAGAGTAGATCTGTTCTTATGCCAGGCATAAGAATTGAACCTAATTTGCCCAAACCTCATGTTTGCTGAAGTCCGAGTATTTGTAGGATTCCGAGTTCAAATGTCGGGGTGTTAAATGTGTTACTAAATCTTAAGTCATATCTGTAACTTTTTACCAGATCAGTTCAAGGGCGAACAGAATACCCGAAACGGGCCTTGTTTGCAATTTCAATGTATTTGGTATTCAGTTTTTCTACCATACACTATTCTATCAACTAGTAGAAAAAGGGAATGCTCGAAGTTTAAATATTTTTCTGATAAATAATGTCACCCCCCTTTGTGCATGATGACTCAGAGCTAAATATCCCTTCAAATATTAGTGATTGGAAAGTAGAATCAATGTATATCCCAATAATGTAACATGTTTTAAGTTTACTAAATTTTAACAAAGCATCATAAAGTATTCAGAATCAACAGTTAAAATGAAAATTGTCAGAAATTGTTTTGGTTGTTCTGCCGGGAAAACAATGGTTTTTCTCATTTACCATACCACAGTTAGGCATCACATAACCTTGTGTAATGCCATAGACTGTTGTTCAACGTTGCTGAAAATGTTGCTTTGCTCTAAAAAGCATACCCCTTTTACCCAATACTGTAATGAGGACCACACAAACCCCTAAATGTTGTACCACTCAATTTTGTACACATACTAAGCCCTTGATCAGTTAAAATAATAATATTCTTGCATCCAGCAAAAGACTTTGAAAGCACCTGTTTTCCTGCAGTTATAATTATCCCACCAAACAAAGTTTGAGGGGGATATAGGAAAGCCATCCATCCATCCGGTCGTCTATCCATCTATTTGTCCAGGTAATTACTCAGACTGAGACAGATTTACTTTAATTTTTAAAGGCTTATGCATTATGGGTGTAGAATCTTTGCTTGAGAAGAAATTTTCAATATGGCCGCTTAATTAAAAATGGTCACCATATTTTGCACAAAATGTAATCTTTGATAACTCAAATACTGGTTGAGTGATTTAGTTTAAATTTAAAATTCTGACGCGAAGGAAAAAGGAGCTTTGCTCAAGAAGAGATTTTCAAGATGCCCACAGAATTTTATATAGAATGTAATTTTCAAATACCAGTAGACAGGTAATGTTCAAATTTTATGTGCTGATGCCAAGGGACGTAGGAACTCTGTGGAATTTTCAAGATGGATGTTGAATTATGAAATGGCCACCATTTTTTATAAAAGAACATAATAGTAACTCAAATACCAGTTGACAGATTTGGTTGAAATTTTATATGCCAATGCCAATGATTCTTCAATGATTCAAATGTCTGAGGACTGTTTTGGTTCAAATTTCAAATGCTACCTGTTCGAGCTCTGTTCAAGAAGAAATTTTCAAGTTGGTTGTTACTGTTGAAATAATATCTTTCCTTCATGCACACCACATGAACCAGTTTGTCATTAACATTTGCACTCATTTTAATGTTACACTGTATAATATTGGACAATGGTAAGTTAGCCTCTACTTACTGGATGGTGCTGCAGGAAGCTCTCTGTTGCCTCAGGTGTCAGTTCATCCTGGCTTATTGGTGTCATGTAACAGCCATACACATCTTCAATGTGAGTCTTCAGTACTGTTAACCCCTAAATACACACACACAATACAACCAGTTTAGAGTTATAGGTAACTGATGCGCAGACAAAAACTGTTGTTCTTCATCCTATGCATTTTTATTTTTACATTATTTACAGTTTTCATACTATTCTAGTAGTAGTTTTTTGCTTGATCAATGCACCCAGTCTTGTAAAAATGATATTTTTAAAGTATTTACTTTTTGTAAAACATTAAAGATGACATGCCATTTTTGCAGAACTATAAGATCTGATGTATTTATCTGGTAGATAGTACCCCACACACACTAATTAGTTACAAAGTTTAAAGCTTGGTTTAAACATTTTTCTTCATTGGATCATCATGAAATTTCACATGGATGAACTAAAAGCAATTTCCAACACTCAAATTTTTTGCTTGAATTTTAATTTTCAAATTTTCATAGTCGTTCAAGATGAAACACCAATTTCACATTTTTCCACATTTTATGCTATATTTATGTATATTTGGCTTCCTGTAAAGTTTTTGCGAGAAGTAAATGTTCAAAAAACCAGGGACATTTTATCATCACACCTTACTCACTTCGAGAGCCATGTTAGATTTTGAAACTTATGGCTCTCAAACGGGGAAATGGACAGTTGAGAATTAGTGACCTGTGAAACAAGAATTAAGTCGATCAGCAGCTTTCTTTTGTTCTCTAACTATGTCATACATCATTATCATCCTTCCATGCAAGTATTGGAGCACTGAAACACTTCCTTTTAGATCAAGACTTGTAATTGTTAGTCGAGTAAATGTTTTTACTGCCAAATTCCAATATGGCGTTTTCTGCTCAGACATTTTCGTAAATCTCCGGAGGTTGTCCGAACCTAACTCATTCTCAAAATTCATAACATTCGTTGCGTATCTTGCGCCTAGCAAACCGCCATTTTGGAAACATTCACTCGATTAACAATTTACAAGTCTTGATCGAAAAAGAAGTATTTCAGCACTCTAATACTTACACGCATTAATGATACTGATGTAAGACACAGTTAGAGACCAAAAGTAAGCCGCTGAAATTCACGTTTTAAAGGTCACTATTATTCAGCTGTCCAAATGCGCCGTGGGAAAGCTTTTATATCAAAATCCAAATAGCTTTCGCAGGAAGTAAACCACACCTGAATAAACAATCTTAGGTATTAAGGCCAAATTAAGGCAGATTTTGTTTGATTTACTTTAATATACCTGCAATTACGTTCAGGGTTTGAATAACATTATTAACTGTTTAGATGAGGGGAGCTTAATCCAGTTTGTGTGAATCATTCATGGTACAGGTTTTGGAATCACTGACACAAAAGATTCTGTCTCTGTGTATATTAGATTAAGTATACAAAAGCTGTTACCTTCTTGAAGTCATTGAACACAGCAAGGTCAAGATCTGGAGCGTCAACCTCTGTCATTCCATTCGGTTTGTCCACCTTTACAGTCTCATTTGTCTCCTTCTCATTGTCTCTTACTGTGATGTGGTACTCCTGGAAAGGAAATAATAAACTTGTGTGACTTAACTGCATCTTACATGTATGTTTTTACAGTTTCTCAAACACAAATAATATTGCACATGCAACTTCACTAATGTTTGGCCCACAAACAGGCCGATTCATAGTTCCTCCTGAACTCAAACTGAACAAAGAAAATGCAAACAATAACGAAAGCAATATTTCTCCACATGAAACTTACAATAAAACACAAGAAAATTACTACACAAATATATGATAAAAGAGAGGATTTTATAATTTTAATATATAGTTTACTATCCAGACCTACGCCATTTTGAAATTTTGAAGAAATCTAGATGATGATATCCAGATAAAAAGTCAAAAATTGACAATGTCAGTCAGAAGGTCGGCAGTTGGGGTCAGTCAGTCTCGTCGGTCTTGGTTGATTGCTTTGTTGGTCTGACTGTCCAAAAACAATTAAAAAATCTGTCATCTGGCGTCTGAAATTGAACAAGATGTATTTCTTCTTTTCTTCTCAGATTTTGGTATACATGTTTTGTATTCTGTTTTCGTGCAATACCTGTATATATTCTGAGGGATGTATTCCACTTACTCATACTTTTGCAAACAGATGATGAATGGTTGTTACCTTGATGGCTTCTTCTGTGTATTTATGTGTTATTTTCACTATGGCGAACACTGCTCCCAATGTTATCAGCAACATTAGAACAACTATAACTGCTGTTATCAAATACTTTTTGGTCTTGTCGCTGGATGTTTTCACTGGCACTTGTGACTTCTACAACATAATAAGCCAGATTCCAAAAAAGCATTTCAAAATGTTTTTATAATGCATTGCGTGAAGAAAGTACATAAAAAATAAATCGATTATAAAAATGATAAAAATATTTATAACTATGCATTTAAGTTTAGAGACTTAATAATGATAACGAAATATTTTGAAATTCATTGAAATAACAAACAATATAATTCTGTATGTAAAATACATCTAATGAATTACCTGTATTATAATTGGCTCTGGTTCTGGAAGGTGTATCATACTTGGCAATGCTTTCTTCTCTGAATCCATGGTTGCGCGTTGCGTCTCTTTAATTTCAGGAACTTTTAATCTAGGATGGTTTCTTCTGATGTCACTCTACCTTTAGGTTGGTAAATGCAGCTTAAAGTGTTTGTCTTTCTCCAATGTTCTGATTGTTTTATGTGCATTTGTTCACTTTTCCTTTATATAGGCTAAAGATACGTGACAATTGAAATGTATCTGGGAAGATTTGTTTGTTTAAAATCAATTAATTTTCTTGACCTTACAATTACAATTATTTTCACATAAAATATTGACACTCGTTTTGATAAAATTTATTTTCCCATTGTGTTCTTCATTTCACAAACCACTTGACTCTATTCAAGTAGAAATTCAGTGAAACCTGAATTTATATGTCTAATAACTCAGATTACCTAGCTGTGAGGTTTTTGTCAAACAAATGGTCCAATCACTAGTCAATCATCACAAGTCAGATATTCATGGTTTCATGGTCTTGCCTCGAGCCCTTATGAGCCCCCCTCATCTCCCCACAAATAGTGAAAAGCAAGACTAGCTGTTTCCTTGAAGATAATGCCTTTGGCTTTACTTAAACCAAGTCTAGCTACACGGCCAAGTGACCACTCCCACCCCCAACTACAATGTCATATAATCAGAGTATCATTCTCAAAGATATTAATTATTCATGACAGGTGCATTAATGAATGGAAAGTCTAATTAGGAATAGGGACCCTGTGTCAATTTTTTTTCTAAATGTTGGACCTAGTTACTCAAAGGAGGATCTTCTGATTTTATTATACCTTGAAAAGATTATTGAACAAGGGGTTTAGAACTTCTACAAAAGTAATTTGAAAATATCAGTTTTCGATGACCAAAATCATGCTGAAATCAACAAATTGAAATCAAAAGTTACTAGCCTGTCAACGAAAATTATATGAACAAAACCATTTGTGTAGAATCACCTTAAATATAATCATGGCAGAGATATCAACATATCTTTTAGTAAAAAAGAATTTCAAATTTAAAAATTATGTAGTATTCACATGTTAATTGTTTCGCTGAATTTGAAACACTTGAAAATTTATAGGACCTTATAAGGTGGTTTGACTACATTTTCGAAATTCCTGATAAACATCACAATACAGACACATAAATCCTTGTGTGCTATTTTTGTGTTGTTTTGAGTTTTGGTCTTTGGTTAATGCACTTTCAAAAGGTTTTGTAGCGTCCCGTCGCTGGTGGGTGGATGTCTGGATGCCACATAAATCTTCATCAAAATTCGAAGTAAACCACTTGGTGTATTCATTCAACTTGAAAAGGACCAGGTTTAGTATCCCAAGTGATTTTAGAAGGTCATATCTTTCGACGTGAGCACTTTCTCAATTTAAATACATAACATTTAGATTAAAAGAATATGTTATTTTTCAAGTGAATTGATAAAAATATCAATCAAACAATTCAAAAAATTATAAATAAAGACCCCATGTCCAAATTTTCAAAATGTTGAATTTAGTTAATCAAAAAGGATCTTCTTTTTCTGATATTTATTATAGCATGAAAAGATTATTAAACAAGGGGTATAGAACTTCTACAAAAGTAGAATGGAATGATAGGCTAGTTTTGAAGATATCAGTTTTCGATGACCAAAATCATGCTGGAAACAATGGATAGCATGAGTTTTCTCTATGAGAAAATAAAATGGCATATGTGTTTTTAACTTTAACATATTTCAATATTTCAGAAGATTTTAATAACGTTTAGAATAAACTTTTGATATATTTTGAGAAAAAGAAGATCCTCTTTTAAGAAAATAGGCCTAACATTTTTGAAAAAGTGACAAAATCTGGTCCTTATCCATACTTTTTCACATCATTGGTTGATCTTTTTATTATCATAGGGACTTCAGTTAAAGAAAACAATATGTTTTAATAAAAGATATGGCCAGAAAGTACTCATGGGGAAAGAATGATATAACTGTCCATAATCACTAAATTTGCTTCTTTCTAGAGATGAAAGTGCAGACTTTTAAGTCCCAAGATCTGACTAGGTTTTACAGGATGCCAGAATTATGCAAGCAAAAAATGCAGTTAGCAAAAAACAAAATATGCAAAGGAAAATGAAAATTATGCAACAAATTATCAAACTGCCTTATGAAAAATATTCCAAATACATTTGTATCTATATTTCAAGAAAATAAAAGCTTTCTTAAATTTCAAGATAGCACCATTAACTCATCTCCGCCATTTGCAAATATGAATGATAATGTGAAATTTCATACTTTTTGTCAAGTTTAGACAATATTTACCTAATAAGTATGAAGATTATGTTGCAGTTAAATATCAGATGAGATATTTTTTGAGAAAAATGTAAATTGTGCAAAAATTATGCACTGATGAATGAATAATGGGACATTACTAGAAATTCAAAATGCAAAATTAAATTTTACCAAGTTAAAACAAAGTCCTGGCATCTGCTGTAAATATCATGGTGACCATGTGGCCTCTTCGGAGTGCAATATTTCTCAATGTGTGTCATGTGTTAATTTTAAGGCATTTTGGTTTTAAAAATGTGTCCTTAATTGCTAAGGCTGTTCTGTAAATACAAATCAATTTTTTTTCTCATAAGCCCTATTTCAGAGCTTGAGAACCAAATACTTTAGGTTGCATAGGTATGTGACAGTAAGGCCAATGTCATGGTGAGGTAATTCATGGCATATCTGACTCAATCACACTTGATATGATTTACTGTTATATCAGTGAAGTATGTTTTCGTAGAAATCTAAATAGTGACACTTTATTATTAGCTCACATAGGTGACCTATTGTTTTTTTTATGGATGGTACCAGTCTGTATTTTATTGTCCTGATTTATGTATACTTTATGTTGGGGACTGGTGAGCCCAGGGCAGAAATATAAGTCCCCAAAATGACAGAACTTTAAGTAATTAAAGAATCTCTTATAGACCCCCCCCCCCAATTGACCATTTTCCATATAAATGGAAAATAAATGGCACAATGGGTGTTGTTAGGGTGAGATAACATGGCAGCCTATAGGACGAGCCACTTAATTTCTTGATTTAAGAAGTTTTTGGATCAACTTAAAATACCATTGGAATCTAACTATGTGATCTTCTTGACATGTGAATTGTGATTTCATAATAAAATTGAGACCCCTTAAGAGTCAATGAACTTTTAAAGGTTTTTCAACATTTTGTCAATTTAGCCCAACCTTTTTCAGAAAACTTGTAAATCTTTGAATGTGAATAAAGGTAAATAACTGTTCTAATCAAAGTTGTTTTGATAGAAAAGTACACACAGAACTCAAATACATGTATGTCATCAAATGGAAGAAAATGTTGGTCTTTTATGATTAAAAATGCAGATCTCCTAAAATCTCACTAAACACGATGTGTACTGTATGATAATCCTAAATACTGTAATGTATGGAGACCCTATCTGTTGCAAGACTTATGCCTGGCACAACCGTAATCATGTTATTAAGTGTTTTTAAGTTTCGCAAGGATCCTGCCATGACCGTGGTAGTGTTATCGTGATAGCCTGGTATAACCGTGACAATTGCCATTACACATCGCACGAAAGCACGAAACTAGGGACAATTAGCGTCAAAATACCAAAACAAAACAATGGGCAGTTTAGGGCGCAAACAGCCTTATAACGTCAAAAACGACAAGCGTTACATTGTGTCAAGTTTAGTCAACCTAAAAATAAGATGCTTTATTCTTATTCAATCTTGGTAAAATTCCCAGAGCAACAAGATCTCGTGGACAATATTTTTAAAATGTTTTTGATTTTTGAAAAACAGCCAGGAAATCCACTCGGGGCATTAGTAAAAATTGATATGCAGGGAATTTGTTGTATAAAATCGATGCGTTACATTTTTTCAAGTCTCTAAAAGCAGCTCTTATTTTGATATTTTTTGAAAAATAAAGAAATCGGTTATTGTTTTGTAAATTTTGCCACGACTATATTGTGCAGTTAATTTTTTTTTTGAAATCAGACCTAAATTAGAAGGTTAAATAAAGGTAAACTTATTGCTTGTCTCCTTCGCCTTCAAAACCTTACACAATTTTGAAAATTTTAAAAGCGTTCATATAAGACAATTTGAACTATAGCCGTTATGCAATTGTGATGTCATAAATGCACATGTTCTATTGAATGAAATTTGAATTTTAGTAAAATTCTGATCAGTATTTCAAAAGTTATTCTGATTTTAATGAATCGTGTAAGCGTGAAATGTTACATCTTACAGCGTATTTGACGATGTCGGGGTACATTTAACTTTAAAAATATGGTAGATCCCATCAAATTTTTCAAGGAAAAATAATTTCAGTGAAATGCAAATAAAAATACTTCAAAATGATATATGAGGCAGATATTAACGCTTAAAGCTGTGATTAGCCCGTATTTCCCGAATTGTCCCCAGGTCCGTGCATGTCATATATATTATATTGCATGGCCTGTCATGACCATGGTTATGTTAAAGCCTGATATGACTTTGACAATGCTATATTATATTGCAAGGCCTGACATTACCATGGTAATGTAAAAGCCTGATTTGACTGTTGTGACAATGGTTGCAAGGTCTGGCATGACTGTGGGAATATAAAGCACAATATAACCATGACAATGGTTATATTAAAGAGATTGAGTCGTCCAGATTTCTATTCTGGACAATCAGTAATGTCCCAATATAATTGCTCATAAAACATCATATATACCTTAGATATATCTTGAGACCAAATCATAAGCACAATATCGACAATATATTGAGGATATCAACAGGACAACCAAAAGACCAACCAACTGTCAGAATTGAATGCAATGAGTCGAAAACAGAATACAATGTTTTGGGGGGATTTATTCATATTGTAACCCCTTAGAAGTAATAAATATGGCTTCTCTAAGCCAAAATAATCTGAAGGAAAAAGCCAATCAGACTGGAACAAATTTGAGCGGGCTTTGTAAATTTAAATTTTAATTTTAATTTCTATTGATGTAAGTGGAAATTCATGGCTAGAATCAATCATCGAATTGATACTGTTAACGAATTAATTCAAGCCTCAGAATTGATAAGTTGATAAACAAACTTGTTTTTGTTAAAGCACAATATAACCATGACAATGGTTATATTAAAGAGATTGAGTCGTCCAGATTTCTATTCTGGACAATCAGTAATGTCCCAATATAATTGCTCATAAAACATCATATATACCTTAGATATATCTTGAGACCAAATCATAAGCACGATATCGACAATATATTGAGGATATCAACAGGACAACCATATTGAGGATGTAATGAAAAATTTCATTGTTTATCTATCTCACGCCTAACCATCGACAAGGTACAGTGACAAAATATACCGTAGTACACTTTCGATATACGATGTCACTATTTAACCGATTTGAAGCAAAGTTAATGATGTAGGTTTGATGTAGGTTTTAAAAAAATAATCTGAGGAATGTTCAGGATTTCATGTTAGATTTTGTATTCGTATTCGTTGTTTCGAACAGGTTGGTTGGTTGGAAAATGTTGTGTTTTTGCACATTTCCTTTGATCATTTCCTCCCCTGTCGTCTTAGAATGTCGACGATTTCTATGAGAATATGTTTCTTTAACCAGCACAATTAAGGTCCTTTGAAGATTTTATAAGTATCAACATTTTGGCTATAATTAAAAAAATCATAAGTGTATGTTGTCAATTTGAATGTACATTATCCCATTGAACTTACTCAATTCACAGTTAACCCTAATGCAGACTAGTATTTTTCATAACACTAAATGGCAGGGGGGTCAGATGCATTTAAAATTGAAACAGTACAATTACAGAATTACTTCAATTTGAATGAGCTATTGAAACTTTCCAGATATATCATAAACGGGATTTTAAAGTCATATTCAATAAGTTAAGATCAGTAGATCTATCTATCAATGTAACTAACAAAACGTAAGGTACAGCCACCAAATACTCAAAACAGGCTGAAAGCAGACTCCGTGGCAGTGGCTAGTCTTCAAAATATTCTATTCCGAGACACTGGATAGGAGTTTGGGTTGGAAGTTAACACCAAATGGGCACAAATTAACCACCACCACAACAATACTTTCATAAAATAAAAAAGCAAAAAGGAAACTTTAACATGTTCGTTAAAGATCACTTGTTACTCATAAAAACCTTAATGAATTTTGAAGTGTAATCATTACATTGTTAATATTACATATATCAAAGGACGTCTATCAATTACAGGGACAACGTACATTCGAGTTGACAATGCACATTTCTGATTTTTTTAAATTACTATAAATACTTGAATATTTCTAAATCTCCACCTGTCCTAAATTGTGTAGTATAGAGAAACATATTCTCATAAAAATAATCAACACTCTTAGGCAACAGGGGAAAAAATGAAATTTTCCAACAGATCAATTTTCGTGGGTAGAAGACTACGAAAAAAATTGAGCACCGTTCGAAAATCTGTTAATGCTATTAGAAAGTTAAATGTCTTCCCAAACGAATACACAAAAAATTAAACATGAAATCTTTCAAGTATTCCCAAGATTAATTTTTTAAAACCTACATCACACCTGCATCATTGTCTTTGCTTCAAATCCGTTAAAAAGTGACATCGTACATCGAAAGTGTACTACAATACATGTATATATTGTCACTGTACCTTGTCCATGGTTAGGCGTGTACCTTAAATATGTAAATCTAGACTCCTACTACATGTACTACTACTTTAACTCATAATTCATATGACCGCCATTTTTGTTTCAGACAATTTTCTAAAATTTCAAAGATTGTATCAGTTAGAGCATTATATTGGGCACATTTTCTGAAAAATTCAAAAGATTTTGTTCAGTGACCTTCCTTACGTAGCTCCTACTTTTAGCTATTTTTCAGTCACATTTTCAAAGGGCTGAAAAAGTTATTTCATCGTTTAGGGTCATTCTGATTCCATGCACATTGTGATCCTGGTCATGTAAATGATATGTGGAAATAGTTAGATTGACTGGAAGTCAAAACAGAACTCCAAATGTGCCATCTTGAATTATGACATCACATTAATGACACCTCATCTCATCTCATTTGCATATTCACATATTTCCTCAAAAAACATAAAGTATGGGTTAGCCCTTCAAAATGATATATAACTTATTGTGTCTTACTTCATTTCCTTGCTTCTAGATTCATTTACATTTTATTTTTTCATTTATTTTTCATTTTTCCTAAAAGTGACCAGTCTTTAAGGAGTTAAGGTGCCATGATACCTAACAGGAAATGAGTAAACAGGATGTGACAAAAATGTGCATTTTAGACATTTTTTGAACAAAGAGTTCTGTTTTCACCTCCAGTCAATTTAACTGTTTCCACATTACCATGGTCATGACAGGCCTTACAACTATTGCCACAGTCATATAAGGCTTTAACGTTACCACGGTCGTGACAGGCCTCGCAATAAAATATAGCATTGTCACGGTCATATCAGGCTTTAACATTACCACGGTCATGACAGGCCTTGCAATATAATATAGCACTGTCAAGGTTATACAGGCTTTCACAATAACAATACCACAGTCATGGCAGGATCCTTGAAACTTAAAAACACTTAATAACATGGTGATGGTTGTGCCAGGCATAAGTCTTGCAATAGATACTATAAATAGCATAGATGCTACAAATAGCATGTGAGTGTATGCTTCTCCTAGATGTGACAGTTCTAAACATCATGCTATAGCTTCTACTATTTATTCCAGAGCAAAAGATGTGAAGAACTTACTTGTGAGATTTATGCATCTGGTTGACATCTTCCACAACAACATGGAACAGTAAGTCACATTAATCTTATCCAGAATCCCCCCACACCCTCTGACTGTTATGAATGACTATAGTTTTGAGTTCTAATGGTTCCAAATGAATATTTCATGGTCTTATGGTGATTTGGATGTGAATAGAAATGAATGTAACCTATATTGGCAGATATTGTCTTTTGTTTTTCTGACTGATATTCTCAAGGATATAAACTAAAAAATCAGAGCCTCCTAATTTAATCTCTTGAATTAATCACAGATCATTTCTCTCTTTTGCTTCATTTTGCCGTTTTTTAAATATTTAATATTTGCTGTTAATTTTGATCAAATAAACATTGCACACATGTTAATACATATTTTGTGTAAATTGGACAAAATTTGTCAAAGTTCTTGCCATTTTAGTGAAATATTTAGTGACAAATATTTCCATCACCCTGGGAATTCAGGGGATTAATACCATATCACCATGAGCCTCCTTCAAGGGATAAGAGAGTTTTGAATAAAGAAAAACTCGTGCAGAGGATATTGTATATTTTATTTCCAGGATTGACAGTAAAGAGATCCAGGAATGTTGCCAGACAACCTTACATGACTTCAACCTGTGTATGTTCTACCAACCAGCTGTGTACAACTTACCTGCAATCAAGGGCTCCCTTCCTGATGACAAGATTACTCACCTTAGCAACGAGCTCATCTTCAAACTTGTTGTCATGTGTATGATGTGTATATTTAGATTACAAAAGTCAGGTAATTAGAATGGATTTATATTACAGATTCCATCAATGAGGGGGATACATTGAACAAGTTATGCTTAGTCCTGATTGGGCAGAAAGTAATAAAGAATGTCTAGATGCGTATAAATCAACACTTGAATACAATACTGGACAGTTTGTCTTTAATGACTATAATTAAAGGGAGAATCAGATATAGCGAGCAGGCCAACAACAAAAAGTGTTTCAGTTTAGAATATTTCTGGCTTAAGTCATTCCTTCTCATGTCCATTTTCTAAAAATCCCCAAAGTGCATTCTTTATTTCAGGAAAACTAAAGATTTTTACAATAATGTATTATTTTTCTAAAAGAATGGTTACCATTCTTATTATTTGGTAGAATTTAAACATTTTCACCCTTTTTGCACCTTGAATCCATTATAACTTCACCAATTAGGCTAATAACATATTGTGAATCTTTTGGGAGATATTGTATTTGAGATTGTAAGGAATAGATTGGTAGGTCAATTGTACATGTTGCTTGTAATTTTGTCACCCCTATAGGTCTGATTCTCCCTTTAAGTTACACTCTCTCAGAACATTCAAGTTTTATTATAAATACTACAGGGTGTCCCAGAAGTAATGATAATTATGCTCTTAAATTTTTATTTGACAAGGAAACAATATGAAATTCATACAAATTAAAGTTTAAGATATAAGCTTCATTTTGCTATATTACATTTATGAATTTATACAAAAATATCCCATGTATAGTTGCCATAGCAACATGTATGCTCGTTCTGCGGAGCAGTTTCAGTATATGATAAATGTTCAAACTTAGTTTAGAAAAGCAGTTATTCTGTGATAATGTTTCAAGCTTTTAAATCATTGTTATGGTAATTGTATACAGTTGCATGATGTCATAGTGGTTTAATATTATGTAATTTATCTCATTGTGACAGGATTATCACTTTAATCTGATAATATGACATCACATGATGATGTCATATAGGGTTTCACAAAAGGAAAACTCTTAGGAACACAATCTAGGAATTTCCAGGGAGGTGTACATTATGCCACCAACGTTGAGCAAAGATGAAAAATTAGAGCAGAGAGCAGTCATAAAATTCCTTCAGAAGACAGGGGGTAAACCCAGTGACACTATAAAGGAGTTTACAAGCATATGGTGAGAGAAGACTGTCCAACCCCACTGTGTAAAGGTGGCATAAATGGTTCGTTTCTGAAGGGAGGACGAAACTTGATGATAAAAAAAGGTCTGGCAGACCAGACACAAGACACAGCCAAGAAACTTTCTTGTACACTTTGTACAAGAAATGATAGTGCAGGATAACAAATTGTCTCCAGCAAAGGACAGTATGTGGATAAGTGAATCAACAATGTACAATGCTCTTAAGGAATATCAGGAATGAAGTAGCAGCATTACAGTAGTGATGTGAACAGCAGGGAAACATATGAACATGAAATGTTTTTCAAAAATGTATGAAAAACACACAGCTGCTCCGCAGAACGCGCGTACATGTTGCTATGGCAACTATACATTAAATATATTTGTGTCGAGTAATAAATGTAATATAGTAAAATGAAGCTACCAACTTGATCTTTAATTTGTGTGAATTTCATATTGTTTCCATATCAAATAAAATTTTTAGAGCATAATTATCATTACTTCTGGGACACCCTGTATATATATTACGAGGTTAAGGCATTTTTAGTTTTTTCTTTTTTTTATTAAAACATATATACACATACATAAGAAATACAGTATATATGTATAACTACAGTATATAAAAAATGATTCAAAAATAAGATGAAATGTCTTGCAAAGAATGAAGCAGCCACGACTACACTTTTCCTGTTCATATACATTTATTTACAATATAGTTTTATCTTAGTATCAATATCTATCGGATTAAGTCCCCCATTTTTAATGTCATTCATAACTTTTTCTTTTCACAGCTAATTTATGACTTGGGTTCACTCAAATTTTTGACTTGGGTTCACTCAAAGTTTTGACTTGGTTATGTATATGTGAACTATTTGAAAAATAACCAAAAATATACCAAATTCAATTGCACTATTTTGGGTCAGAAAACTGAAATTCAAACTAAAAAGAGCATGTAAGGTATGGCGAGCCATTTTCAAAGGGCTATATATTTAGTTCGAAGAATAAGTTAACCACAAAATCAAATGGTTCTGTTAGATCCATGTCTTATCTTCAATAAATGACATAAGGATGATAATCAAGTTGATTGAATTATCTCTTAAGCTGTCCCTAATCCACCCATCCTCACCAATTTTCCCTAATTCAGATGCAATTTTCACCAAAAGTGCAGGCCTTTTTAATAATTTTTAGTGCAAAGTTGTATTGAACTTTAAGACATGATTTAAACTGTAAAGGGGAAAAGTTAATTGTAAACCTACTTTTTGATATTTTTTTCGTGATTTTTTCGTATTTTTTTCTGATATTTTAAAGTGCTTCATACTAATATTATACAATTACAAAATAGAGGGCAGCTAAGTGCCATAAATAATTTGTTTGTTGCAACACTCAGATGGTGACTTACTCAGCGTTATGGATTATAATCCTGTATTTAACCTTGTATTGTTTGTGTATAAAACAGTTGTGTCATTCACGTATAGCTATTTATATACTGAATAGTTCTTTGTAATTACATGTACCTGGTTTTGGCTATTCAACCTAGATTCTTTGTTATATTAGGGCAGGCTGAAATGAATAAGTGTGAAAATAAAATGAATTACAGGGTGAGGCAAAAATGTCATCCAAAGAAATGTTATTAACTCATTCATCCAGTATGAGTTGAAATCATATTTAGTTAATTTTACCATGTAAAATCTTTTTGCATTTTACCATGTTTCATGGGTCCATTCCTCAAGGTCACAATTCTATGGCCATTCTACAAATTTCAGCCTCGTCCCTTCAGGCAGACCTGCACTGGTCGGTTGAGGTTGTAAGTTCATGGTCACAGAAATTGTTCTCCTACTTGTTGTTGACATTATCTCAGAGATAGCCCGTAGTCATGAGATGAGGCTGGCATTTTGGACCATGTTTCGTTTTATAGCCATAAAATCCCGACTATTGGGGCAGGGCCAATTAAACTTAGTAAAATGAAAGAACATTAAACAAGGTTTTATTATGCGAAATAACATTTTAACAGATGCGGAATTAGTTTGGGCTACATTTTTGGCTCACTCGGTATTAGACTGCACTTTGATAGTATTTATGATGTCATATGTTGGGTAAAAGGCGATGATTTAACCTACTTTTAATGGCAAATTCATTTTAATATGAATGAAATAGTGGCAGGTACTATTTATATTTAATGAGCCATGAAATAGTAGGTTGATCTGACAGTTGTTAGTTGAATTCGCTATTACTACTTGTAATGGGGTTTCAAAGCCCGTGGTCACCTATGTAGTTTCTTCATCCCAGGTCAAATCGACTCAAGAATGGTGTTATATTAGATGCAGCATTTATTGATTTCTGGAATCACAGCACCCCTAAGCGTAATCATAATTCCGTCGATTGACCTACAGCATAGGCCTAGGGAAAAGTAGAAGGAAGGAAGGCATAAGTTTACTCTTAACTACTTTTACATAGACCTATGGCCTAAAGATAAGTTTGGGATCCCTTATTAAAACCAAAACCTCTATTTCTAATTACAGCCCCTAAAAGCAACAACCCCGAACCAAGTGGCAGTCATTGAACCCCAAGGCATTTTTTGTGCCAACCTATAATGAGACCCACTTTAGTGAATAACAACCAGGTAGTCATCTAAGGTATAACAACATGTTCAGTTTGTAATTTTATAGAAGGTCACTGAATCCTCTAATCGTTCATTCAGTTACGGATAAACTATGAGTACTGGGTTTTATGAGAAATAATAGCAGAGGGGCTTGGCGTGAGGCTATTAGTTCTCATATGACCCATTTCGAATAGTTTATCTAACTTAAACTCCACACTGATTCTTATGAAGGGTAATTGACCCATGATCCAAGTTTAGAAAAAATCTTTTGTATTAACTATGTGGTAAATGTGTAGAGAAGTGGGTTGGTTTGATTGGTTCAGCTTCAATGCACTGCATGTATCAGGCAAGTACATTGAAAATTGTATTTATTTTGTGTTTACAATTCAACTATTGAGTGATTGAAAATGGTTTAATAAGAACAGCTTCGGTGCACTGCATGTGACAGTCAAGGTGTAAATATTGAGCCAAACACTGTCAATCATATTTTGTGCCACACTGGTTTTAGATAGCTGCAGTGTCCATTCTTCAAAAACAATACAACAAGAATGCACTCCTCTTTCTTACTACTGTACATTCATATTCTTTAAGGTGAAAACGGTCTTAAATTGACAAATTTTTCAAAAATTCAAATCTGACTTTAAATTTTACAATTGACCTTCAATGACCTTCTCAAAGTAAAGAGGGTCTAAAAGGTATTTTTCAACTTGCTTCGAATTGACCGAATTTTCAAAATCACCTACAAGTTCTCAGAAGTCAAATCTGACTTTTGAATTGACATTTGACCTCTCAAGTTCAAAAAGTTCAAAAAGGCATTTTTCAACTTGCTTCATATAATCATTTTCTTTTCAAAATTTGACTTGAACTACACGGTGATGACATTTTGTAATGGCAATGCCTTGTTCTACATGTTGTTATTTCATGATTTCTTTACGAAGTATTGGCTTCGTACCTCATACCCATGTACGTGGGTGGTGATGCAGTTTTTGAAGGGTTCAATTTTTAAAGTTTTAAAAGATTATTCAATTCTAATGCTATCTGAGGTATAAATACATTCATAGTATCCATAGATGTGAACTTCGTCTAGTGAAAGATAGATAGATACAGAGTCATAAAATAAAGCCAGAATTGTTAATTTTTTGTTTTTCATTGATTGTCAAAATAGCGCCATTCAAAGGACTTTTCAATAGAGAAAAATCCATTCTAAATAAGTTTTAAATATGTCAGGGTATCATTTTATTTAATCACAGCATGATTAAAGATAATTTTAGTCTCAGGAATCGTAAATTCACGTTTTAGTGTAGATTGGTTCTATAGTGAACGAGCATTTCAATTAGGCAATTTTTATCGAAATAGCAAAGGTAAACAATTTTGCAATTCTGGCCTTATTTATGACTAGAAAAATGTTGGATCTATAAGACATACACGTAGGTCTACAAGTGCATTAATGCACCTACAATTCATATGATCAGAATAATCTGAAACGTTAGAATTGAACTCTTCAGATCAAAGAATGTATCATGCCCCAAGTACGCCGGCACGTGGGTACAAGGTATACGGTTTTTCATACAAAGCCCGAAGTATTGACTGAGAATATAGAGTGATCGAGTACGTGACAATATCATAATTACACAAGGCCATGATTACACAAGGCCATATTGTCAAAGGGTAAAACCCAACGCATTAAACTGTTTATTCCATAAAAATTCCAATCAGCAAAAACAATCCAATAAAATTTGAAATGAACAAAAAATGCAACAAATGTTTGGCCAAACCATTGGAGAATATTATTATTTGCATGCACTCTGTATACAGTGGTACCTGTATCAATACCTACTACATATAACACTATTCGAAAGATCATTTACATAAGGCACTTTCGAAACCCCCAATATGGTTGATGATAAAGAAAGATACACATGGGAAGAGTTAATTCAAATAAGATGGTATTGAATCATGTTTGTTGAAACATCGCAAATGTGTAATATTTCAAATATTCATTTACACTATACAATTCAAATATATAAACAAGTATTTCCTCTTATGTGTTTTACTAGGTGTTAAACATATTTATGTTTTACTGTACATACTTTACACGACCCAGTCATGTTGACATATCCATGCTCATTTCTATAATACGCAATTATGCAACAATGAATACACAGAGTATCTAGCACTCACCCATGTAGAATATATCATGCCATCTATGGAACATTTATAACTCTATCTATAAACATGATTGCATAAAATAGGGTACATCTAAATGTCGTTCTAAGTGACATCTTTTCATACACTTCACACTAAGGTCATGGCCTATGAGGTAAAAATGACAAATGGATTATCAGATAATGCTTATCTCATTTAGATCATTTTTTTCTTTTTGGAAATCAATCATGTGACATAGCTCAAAGTTTTCATGCATTAATCTCATTAAAAAATTGCTACTTTTAGGTAAAAAATTCGGCCTAAAAAAGTTATTGTTTTTGGATTATCCTAATCCCAAAGTAATCAAGTTTTCCTTTTTAGAGGTAGATCATTCCTTACAATAAATTGTAATTTTGCCATAAAAACTGAAATAAAATGCTGCATTTTTGGTGAAAATTGCGTCCGAATTAGGGAAAATTGGTGAAGATGGTTGGATTAGGAACAGCTTAAGAGATAATCCATTCAACTTGATTATTATCCTACTGTCATTTATTGAAGACAAGACATGGATCTAACAGAACCATTTTTTTTGTGGTTAAAGTATTCTTAGAATTAAAGATATAGCCCTTTGAAAATGGCTTGCCATATCTTACCTGCTCCTTTGTATCGCTTTTCACAATTTTGGTTTACCTCATTATGGGAGTTATTTTCTCTACCATTACATTATTTTTACACAGAATTTGAAAATGGAAGATGCCCTACAGGAAATGTTTTTTCAGTAGGTACGAGTAACATGTATTATTTATTTCTTTATTGACATTAGTACCAATTCATGACATGTCAGTCTAAAAAAGCAATTTATGTTGCCAAAACAATCTTTATCCAAGTGTTATTTTTGTTATTTTTTCATTTAGATTATTTTATTAAAACAATATTGTTATTATAGAGAATTCATCAATTTCATTTTCAGCTTTACAAATGTTTTCTGGAGGAAATTTTCCTCTCAAGTTATTCAGTATACACTTCCTCATCCATCTCTTTTTTCAAACACTTTCTCACAGCATGATAACTTAAATCTTTTGTTTGCTTTGACTTGTTCATTTAACTCTTTCAAGGCATTGGGTAGAGAGAATGCAAGCGATGCCTGTTTATTCCATGTATTTTCTATATTTGCATTATCCCATCCTGCAAATATCATCCAGCAGTTTGGATAATGATCTTTACCTTTTTCAGTTCCACAAACTATAGTTCCACAATCTCCAGGCAGCTGTGCATAGTCAGTGTCATGATCTGCAATATCTGCACCAATTACTACCATGTTAGTTACCCATGCAGTCTTTTTCCCAACTTTAATTTCACCTGCTGCATATCCACTCAAAATGTTCCCACTCCCTTGTTTGAGAGAGGACCCTAGCTTCACCACCTTTGAGCCAACTAAATTGTAAAGATTGTTTGGAACTGTATTTGATGGATTATCTAAATTTATGCAACATTCAGAACAGGCATTGTATTGAAGTTTTATGGTATCTGGCCCTTTATCCACCTTCTTTGATACATATTCGTTCTGATTAATCGCATTGATGGAGGCAGGTTTATACTGATCATCTACTTTAATGCATGCAATGTCATACTGTTCCTCTTGTTTCTCATCCATATCTTCATCTTTCATTGTATAATGATATATACACTTCCGAATCATTTGCTCATCAAATGCATCTTGGCTAACGTTGACATCATCCTTCCAATCATTGAACTCATTGTCCTTTTTATCCTCCACATCACCATTCTCCACATCCTTGTTATTTTCATCATCATTGTCTGTTCTCAAAGGTATTTTGTATGGAACCTCTGTCCCAATTACATGTTTGTCACTTTGATCTTCCTTGGACCAAGACATGTATTCCACATTAGTGTTATATTTTTCAACCATGTGATTTGCTGTGAGAACGTACAGTTCATTCGGAGCCTTATTTTTGGGATCAACGAGGGCAACCAATCCCCCAATAGTGCCATCTGACTTTGTCACAAAATGTTTATGCATACCTCCATTAGCAGATTGACCCTCCATGCTATGTAGAGGTGCATCTGAACAGCCAAGTAATTGGATAGATTCATTCTCCATCCAGGGGACTGTGTGGAATTGAAACCACGGCAACATTCTCTTTATGAAGCCAGATGTCTTGTTGATACACCCATCAACTATATGTATGGAGTAAATCCCATCTTTTCCCATACCATAGAACTTCACTACAGGAATCCTAAAAGTATAAGTTCATATCACATTGTATTTAAATATTTCTTCATGGAAATTCTAAAAGCATAAGTTCATATCACTTGTACTTCAAAAATGAAATGATTAAGATCTGCACTTCTAATCCATTCCATTTACATAACAATAGTGAGTTATAAAATCAGCGACATTTTGATACCAAAACGAACCATTTCAGTAACCAGCATAATTTAGTGGAGTACCAGTGGTATAGTTTAAACAACCCAGACTGCTACCGATTTCACTAATTGTCACTCATATTTGGGATTTACCCTTGCTACAGCAGCAATGTGCAATGTTATTTCCCTTACATGCAATACAAGTAGATACTTAAAAGATAAGCACAATCATTTGAATGTTTACAATTGAAGAAATTAACTCCAAAAATAGTTAGAACCAAACATATTTGCTCAATTTCATACTACAGATTCTTAGCATAGGATTGGATCCTATGTTTCAAATTAACCAATTGATACTTACCATTGCATTAGTTTTTGAAAATGAGATTTCATTTTTCTATATCCATCCGATATATAGCTTACATTGGCATTGCGCAACCTTTCATGTCTGTGTTCGAATATTAGTTCTTTTTCAACTAGATGGTTGGCATATAATTGTCGTAAGATAGCCATCACTTCACACATGTCCTCAAACAATAAGAATGCCATAAATCCAGGTGGTAAATGACCATCGTGGATCAAACTTTCGACAATGTCTCTGTATGAAGCATTATTTTTCACACTGGTTTGGTACAAACACCACCGTACCTGACACTTTAAACTGAGCTTCCATTTAACTTTCATTGCATCAAGGTTTGTTTTAGCTGTGATCTTAGCATCACCAGTTGCACTGCTGTTTAGTTTCAGGAGATGTTTGTAATCATCATCTTTAGAACCTAGTCTAGTTAGGTAGTTGTATATTTTTCTGTGCCTAGGGGTGAATTTCTTGATGAAAGCCAATGCTGATTTGCTTGAATGTGCAGTTGCATTGACATCTGCTCCATGGTCTGTCAACCATTTTGTACGTTCCAGAGAGCCAGAATGACAAGCATGCATCAGTGCAGTCATACCATCATTGTCCTTAGCATTGACATCTGCACCATATTTGTCCTTAGCATTGATATCTGCACCATGCTCTGTTAGCCACTGTGTGCATCGCAGAGAGCGAGACCTACAAGCATACATCACTGCAGTCTCACCATGTTTGTCCTTAGCATTGATATCTGCACCATGCTCTGTTAACCACTTTGTACATTGCAGAGAGCGGGACCTACAAGCACACATCAGTGCAGTCTCACCATATTTGTTCTTAGCATTGATATCTGCACCATGATCTGTTAACCTTGTACGATCCAGGGAGCCAAAACCACAAGCCCCCCTCAATGCAGTCCAACAAGAATTGTTACTAGCATTGATACCTGTACCATGCTCTGTTAACCACTTTGTACATTCTAGAGAGTAAGACTTACAAGCATGCATCATTGCAGTGTTACCATGACTGTCCCTAGCACTGATATCTGCACCATGCTCTGTTAACCACTGTGTACATTCCAGAGAGGGAGACTTGCAAGCATACATCAGTGCAGTTTCACCATTATTTTCCCTTGCATTGATATCTGCACCATGATCTGTTAACCACTGTGTACATTCAGGAAATCCCCTGTAACAAGCAAAGATCAATGCAGTCCAACCTATACTGTCCCTAGCATTGACATCTGCACCATGCCTTACTAACCACTGTCTGCATTCCAGAGTACCAGACTGACAAGCATAGTGCAATGCAGTCATACCACCATGGTCCCTAGCATTGACATCAGCACCATTCTCTATTAACCACTGAGTGTATTCCAGAGAGCCAGAGGCACAAGCCTTCATCAATGCAGTCATACCCTTATTCTGCCTGGTATTGACATCTGCAACACACTCTGTTATCCACTGTGTACATTTCAGAGAGCCAAATTCACAGGCATACATCAATGTAGTAGTACCATTATTGTCAACAATATGGACGTCTGCACCATTCTCTGTTAGCAACTGTGTGCATTCCATAAAGCCAGAATGACAAGCAATGGCCAATGCAGTCATACCACTACTGTTCCTAGCATTGACATCTGCACCATGTTCTATTAACCACTGTGCACATTCCAAAAACCCAGTCGAACAAGCCGATATCAATGCAGTCCCACCACTATGGTCCCTAGCATTGACATCTGCACCATTCTCTGTTAACCACTGTGTACATGCCAGAGAGCGAGACTCACATGCATGCATAAGTGCAGTTTTACCATTATTGTCTCTCGCATTGATATCTGCATCATGCTCTTTTAACCACTGCATATATTCCAGAGAGCCATTGCTACAAACATGCATCAATGCAGTCATGCCATTATTGTCCCTTGCATTGATGTCAGCACCTTTTTCTACTGTTAGATCCAATGTTTCTTTACTCAGTTTCTTAATTCTAGCAATAGACAACAAAAGTGTAAATGCAGGACATCTTTGTGTTCTTTGGAGTATCAGCTTTAGCTGGTGTTCATCTTTTCTGTGAAGTGCATCTTTAATTTCCTGATCTAACTCATTTGTATAATCAGCCATTTTAGCTCTCGCTTATTATACTGCGACTAAACATTCTACATTACATTCTGTGTTAGAAAATTCTTTAGTATGAATCAACATTTGATATGGTTGCCTAAACTTGTATTCTTAAATTACAAGTTGTTTTGGGCATTAAAGACATTATGACCTACACATTTATAAATTTTCAAAGGCTTTTGAAAATGTTTAGTCATGTACAAAGTGAAATGCCTGGAGTGTTGTTTGCTTGCGGGTCAACCAGTTCTGTTAGCTTCACTATGTTTTTGTTTTGAATAGACATGAATTTAAGTTTAAAAATGAGATCAGATTTATCCCAATATGATGACCTTTCCTGCCTTTCCTGCACATATTCCCCTGGTGATGGAGTTCTTTTAGTCCTACCCTCAAAAAGTATGTTCTCCGATATCATTATTAGATTAATGGTTATTTGCATATGAAGTTCAGGGATTGTTCTTAGCATTGATATCTGCACCATGATCTGTTAACCTTGTACGTTCCAGGGAGCCAAAACCACACGCCCCCCTCAATGCAATCCAACAAGAATTGTTACTAGCATTGATACCTGTACCATGCTCTGTTAACCACTTTGTACATTCTAGAGAGTAAGACTTACAAGCATGCATCATTGCAGTGTTACCATGACTGTCCCTAGCACTGATATCTGCACCATGCTCTGTTAACCACTGTGTACATTCCAGAGAGGGAGACTTGCAAGCATACATCAGTGCAGTCTCACCATTATTTTCCCTTGCATTGATATCTGCACCATGATCTGTTAACCACTGTGTACATTCAGGAAATCCCCTGTAACAAGCAAAGATCAATGCAGTCCAACCTATACTGTCCCTAGCATTGACATCTGCACCATGCCTTACTAACCACTGTCTGCATTCCAGAGTACCAGACTGACAAGCATAGTGCAATGCAGTCATACCACCATGGTCCCTAGCATTGACATCAGCACCATTCTCTATTAACCACTGAGTGTATTCCAGAGAGCCAGAGGCACAAGCCTTCATCAATGCAGTCATACCCTTATTCTGCCTGGTATTGACATCTGCAACACACTCTGTTATCCACTGTGTACATTTCAGAGAGCCAAATTCACAAGCATACATCAGTGTAGTAGTACCATTATTGTCAACAATATGGACGTCTGCACCATTATCTGTTAACAACTGTGTACATTCCATAAAGCCAGAATGACAAGCAATGGCCAATGCAGTCATACCACTACTGTTCCTAGCATTGACATCTGCACCATGTTCTATTAACCACTGTGTACATGCCAGAGAGCGAGACTCACATGCATGCATAAGTGCAGTTTTACCATTATTGTCTCTTGCATTGATATCTGCATCATACTCTTTTAACCACTGTATATATTCGAGAGAGCCATTGCTACAAACATGCATCAATGCAGTCATGCCATTATTGTCCCTTGCATTGACATCAGCACCTTTTTCTACTGTTAGATCCAATGTTTCTTTACTCAGTTTCTTAAGTCTAGCAATATAAAACAAAAGTGTATATGCAGGACATCTTTGTGTTCTTTGGAGTATCAGCTTTAGCTGGTGTTCATCTTTTCTGTGAAGTGCATCTTTAATTTCCTGATATAACTCATTTGTATGATCAGCCATTTTAGCTCTCACTGATTATACTACTACTAAACATTCTACATTACATTCTGTGTTAGAAAATTCTTTAATATGAGTCAACATTTGATATGGTCGCCTAAACTTGTATTCTTAAATTACAAGTTGTTTTGGGCATTAAAGACATTATGACCTACACATTTATAAATTTTCAAAGGCTTTTGAAAATGTTTAGTCATGTACAAAGTGAAATGCCTGGAGTGTTGTTTGCTTGCGGGTCAACCAGTTCTGTTAGCTACCCTATGTTTTTGTTTTGAATAGACATGAATTTAAGTTTAAAAATGAGATAAGATTTATCCCAACATGATAACCTTCCCTGCACATTATGCCCCTGGCGATGGAGTTCTTTTAGTCCTATCCCTCAAAAAGTATGTTCTCCAATATTATTAGTATATTGTACACTGTTGCTCATAAATATGGAATATTTTATTATCGCATCGAAACAAGAAAATCCAGTGAAAATCACTGAAAAAATACAAATACCCGAAGATAGAAGGGAATTGAAAGTGGAATCAAAGTAAATGGTTACATTGCCGCAGGAGTCCCATTTATACTTGTATAGGCTACTGTTCTGGACGGGAATGCATGCTCCTTTATGTTATACCCTGCGTGCAGAGTCTAGTTAAACCACACTCTGCCTAGTAGAGACCATATTACATTTTGGTAGCCCCGCCCCCAAGATGGGTACGGTGACAGTTTCGTTAATAAATCACTTCTGACCTATGCGCTGACCTTTCTTCCACCATTCAGCGAGCTAAGAAACATACGCCAAATGCGTTCTAATTAAATATGCGCATGTCATTGGTCAATTCCGGGCTCAACGATGATGTCAGAAGGAATGACCATATATAGAACGTCGGTCAAATTTGGCCGATGAACACTGATTGGCGCGGTGAGTTCACAGGTTTATTTTAGTTTGAAAGAGTGAAGACGAAGCTCTCTTTTAAGAAGTGAAGTCAAACGAATGCAAAGGGTAATTATGTTACATTTTGAATTAGGCCTTAGGAGTTTTAAATTAGATTTAAAACTTTGACAAAATCCCTATCCGTATAAGTACTGTATTTTAATGCAGAACTTTCCTGGGGTGATTGAAAGGAAGTTTACTTTTCCTAAAATCCATTGTTGTAACAATGACATCAGAAATAACTTGTAGACTTTAACGTTTCTGTTAATGGATTACTGTTATAAATTAAGAATTTTACTTTGACTTGTTAACTTACATGAATACAGGAATAGGACGATAAACTTTACAAACTTCAACAATATGTCACCATCTCTACATGGTGACATAAACATTCTTCTAACTTTAGCACATATATTGTGGTTTCATAGAGCCCAAAAATTTACTACAGATTTCAGAAAGTCCAATTTAAACCCTGGTAGATGACTTCTAGACACTGGTTTTTCCTCAATGTTGCCCTTAGTAGTTGTCTTTGGAGATTCTGGATTGATCCTCAGGTACTGTATGACATTCTGGACTTGTTAGCCTTTGTGATTACCTCATGTGCCTTGGAAATGTAAGGGATGGAAAAGCATATTTATGACTTTTGTCAATACATTTCCTGCATTTGTACATTTATCATTTCGTTCGAAAATATTCATGTTTTTTTAATCAGTGAGGCAATTGTTAAAGTTATTACAGTAATGGTGTCCAATGGTTATTTGAACATAAAAAGAACATCCTACAAGTGTATGATTTACTCATGATATGATTTTAAATACACTCGTGGATATTGATCATATCCATTCGTGGATAAAAATCGTATCACTCATAAATCTTAAAATATACTCCAGTCCATATACGTATATCGTGCCCTTTTCATACTTTATTCTATACCAGAAAATAACACGTGCAGTAAAATGTTATTGTCCACGTGTACAATGAGTCGAGGAAATGTACATTTAGAATGTCACTTAACTTTTTGGTGATTTTGAAGTCATGTCTGCATTTCACAGTTCAAAATCAACTGTAGTATTTGACACCGCCTCTATATTTGACTCACTGACCCTTTATCGTTTTTCAAACATACATGTATTCGGAAAATTTTGTAGGGAATTTCAGTCACGAAAAATGAATGAGTGACAACTTACACTTGCTTCGAGTGTAATAGGTTAATGGAAATACTACTTACTTTGGCCTTCGCAGTTGTTACACTTCTTGTTGTTGTAATGATACTGCATGATGTTTTTGTAGTTGATGTCACTGAAAAAGAAATAAAATGGTGCAAAAAGGGGTTTGAACATTTAGTTTGACATCGCCCACTGTGTCGTGTTGAGAGTGTGATACAAAATTGACGATGCAGTGCGATTAATACTCTCAATTAATAGGAACCGTCATGGAATAAGTCTATATCGATTTCTGATCACCTTGAGGCTTAAATACTTTACAAAATGCATGTGAAACGTGTACTGATTTAATTTTTTATTTATTTTCCGTTCATAGTTACTGAAATACACACTTGAGAGGGATTGCTAGTCTAATATGCTCCAACACGATCAGTCAGTCTACTGACATAGGCCTACTGACAGGCGCATGCACGACCGGCATACAAGCCTAGCCATACACAATCAAAATCAGAACATCTGAATTAGACTAGGCCTAGGGTGAGACCATGAGAAACGAAATCAAAATTTCTTCCAAGTTCATTTTAATTGATTTTTTCACCACTGGCCTGATAGTAATGATTCAGCACAATCATAATTTACCATTCTACTCATTTCTACATTCAAGATGAAGTGAAATCCAGTTATAGATGCACAAATCAGACTTTAAAATGACAGAAATGTTAAAATACGCTTACCCGTTCAGACCAAACTTGAGAGCAATGGCGGATGCGTCGTTGACGTCTCATGACGACATTACTTGGAAACACAATCGATTCGTAATGGCATCGTATGACGCCTTGATAGTTACCTTGACGATTTACCATATAAGGGAATAAAGGCGGTCTTTAGGTCACTTGAATGGCTTCAAGTGGGAATAAAGTACAAATCCCAGGCCACTTCGTGGGGGGTCTTTGTAAAAAAGTTTGGGGGGATATAGGGAACGCCTCCATCCATATGTCCGTCCCTCCCTCCGGGCAATAACTCAAATACCGTTGGCCAGATTTTGTTCATATTTTGTACACATATAACCCTATGGGGGTAGAAGTTCTGCTTGAAAGCAGATTTTCAAAATGGCCACTCATTTAAAAATGGCGGCCATTTTAGTGCCGATCTTACAGTAATTTAGGTGCAATATGTAAAACTGTAATAGCAATATGTTTTAAATGTAAAAAAAATTATATAGGACACTAATAAAGCTAGAAATGTAGATATTAAAGAAGCACATGGCAGCCATCTTGAAAAATGGCAGCCTTTACTCGTTATTTTAACGTATTTTACTAAACTCTAAAAGTAGTGGAGAGATTTTGTTCATATTTAGTATGTGAATACTATAAGCATGGCACACTGTCTAATGACACCTTTGGTAGAAGGTGGTCATTTTGAAAAATGGCAGCCATTTTAACGTATTTTACTATAACTCGAAAAGTAGTGGAGCGATTTTGTTCATATTTGGTATGTGAATACTATAAGCATGGCACACTGTCTTTAAATGACACTTTTCCAGAGGGTTTTGCGTATGGCGGTGAACAATGAAGGAGTATTGGTTTCTAGTTGGAGTGTTTGATGGATTGCAATTTGCTTTAATGGGGTACTATTGTCTAATCTGAAGATGCTACATGCAAGCTTAAGGGCTAGTTTGTCAATGGTAGCAGTAATGGGGATTTGACCAGTGAGGAGTAGGGTGGCTGCGTTAGGCGTTCTTTCTGGGATACCCTGTAGTTGTCGGAGGGTTTTCCTTTGGAAACGGTTCAGTTTTTCCATGTCTGTCTTGTGAAGGATCAGTGTTTCCAGACCATATGTGAGTCTAGGTAGAACATAAATGGACCAGAGTTTTATGGAGGCCTGAATGGAGAGACCATTGCGGCCATGGAGGCCGGCTCCCATGAGTGCATACATGGTATTCCTTGCAGTGCTTATTCTCAGGTCAACATCAATGCTTCTGCCTTTGTTGTCTCTTGTCATCCCAAGATGTTCAACAGTTGGAGTTTCGGTAATGTCAGACATCCCGAGTTTGAAGTTGAAATCAGTTTTGGGCTTGTTGATTGTTAAAAAGTTGGTTTTAGAGGAGTTAAGATGGTAACGTTCTTTGCTCGAGAAATAGAATGCATCATGTAGCATGGTTTGCATGTCATGTTCATTTGTACTAAGGAGGAGAACATCATCAGCACAGGAGATGTGGGGTATCTCAATACCATTTTTATTGATCTACTCTCAAAACCAAACATCATTGCTTTGAGACTAATGGGTCAGTAGCAAAAAACCTTTATCACTGTCCTGCCAACTTTCAATGGATAAAACAAACACTATAATACAATTGATCCTTTTGGCATTATCTCACATCATAGTGAGGAAGCACAAAGGGCAACATTTGAAAACAAATAAAATATTACAAGTCATAAATGCATATCAAACTATTGAATGTTGATCTTTATATTTCATTGAAATTAATAATGTGTCAGAAAGGAATATTGAGTTATTATTTACATCAGAGTGAGGAGGAACAAGGGGCAACATTGAAAAACACAAATAGATCAATTGCTCATATACAGTTTGCATTTAAGTGGCAGGAGTGGCAGCGGCGAATGGTCGAAAAAAATTCAGCCTGTTGAAATTGCCAAAAGGCCTGTTGAAAAATATTTATTGAAACCCCTGGGTCAATAGTACAATGTGTTTACAACGATGCCTAACAAAAACAAATAATTATGATCTCTCACCTTTATTTGAATCGTAAATAAGGCTCAACATGTTGAATATTTACAAATAATCATGATTCTCTCGAATTTTTGCGACTTTGTTTATTTTTAGATTTGAAACCATGACACGCAACAGTTTTTCCTATTCAGAAACAAATATTAGGTTATTCATGAAATAAAATGTATTCATTGTCGAATGAACGAACATGCATTTATTCAGTCCGTACTTAACGTTTACTTCCGTTTTAAATTCGTGGCAAGAAATCAAAAACTGAAAAATAAGGGACACACTTTTTTTTCAAAGGACACACTTTTTTGAAAAAATTGCGTCCTTGGGACTCACAAATTTTCTAACCTAATGCAAGCGCTGATTTCTTCTTCCAGGATCCAAGTTAGTCACTGCAGCTATAGCATTCACCCTAGCTCTGTTCTCCCATATATTCAACCACACTGGAGAGAGACTGCAGTCAGCCCTACAAGACAAGGAGAAGGCAGTGATAAACCTCAAACAGGAAAGTCAAGGTCAGTTTTATAGGGCTTCTTTCAGGATCTGTGACCCCCTTCATTAAGTGTCCTTAATTCACGTTGAATTAGCAGTAGACTCATCTGCAAAACACTTGCAATTTCTAAATGTTCACCCATAATAAATTGAACATCCAAGAAAGATGTATCTTGATGTTACAGTTATAACATAATGAAGAAGTACAGGGTGATCACTAAGTTCTGGGAATTTATCTGTCATTTCATTATTTTTCAACCAATTTACTTGACATTTTCAAGGTAAATGGGGAATGTAATTTTGGGTTGGATAAAACAGTCTCATTGTCATCTGATGTCACAATGGATAATTATTGTTACTATAGCAACATGATGAATGGCGTAGCGGGTCAAGTAAAATAAAATTAATTCAAATTTTGCTTGATCCAAAAGTATGGTTAATAGATACCTATTTGGTGGACATATTTCTGTGATTTTTTATATTTTCAAATACTTCTCTAACTTAAGTTTCTAAAGTAACATCTTTATTGTTATATAAGAGTGTACTTTGCTCTAATTTTGTATCATTCATCAGCATCTCAAAGTAACAATCATGACCAAAAATAGCGGGGAGTTACTTCCATTATGACTATGCTCCTTCCCATTACTCAAACTGCCCATACTACTCTTGAAGAATTGGGGTTCACACAAGTTATTACTGCCCCATATTCATCAGGCAATATTCCCCAGATGAAGCACCATAAGGCTTCACTACATTTGGGGTGCTAAAGCATCATATGAGAGGTCATAAGTTTGATTCCAATAAGGGACTGATTTCAAAGGCTTGAGCAAATCTTCAAGGGATGCCAAAGGGAGGACTGGAACACATCTTTATGGACTAAGTTTGTCAACAACGCATATGCGTCCAGGCTAATGGAAACAATCATAAATAAAATGGTCCTCTCAGCAATGAAGAATACTTCTGAATAAATGACTTCAAGAGTACTGTTCTGCCTCTAGTACAAGTAGTTTGAAGCAACTATCTAGGCAAGATGAATATGTTTTGGCAGGAAATTTTCAAATTAACATCAGTCAAAATTTGCTGACCCGCGAACCACTTTTACTTTTTTTGTAATTACAATAAAATAAATTGTAGATGTGATATGTATATGAAACATTGCTTGTCAATTCAGAATTATACAATGTACACCTGCTGAAAATTTCAACTCAAATGGTTGAGAAATCTTGAAATGGCAGACCAATTCCCAGAACTTAATGATCACCCTGTATTTATATTTTTTTTATTATGGATGACAAAATTGAAATATTACATCCCAAGTGCAGTAGAAGCTCTGAAATGATAAGTTCTAATCTAATAAAGGAAGAAGCTTCAATATTTTCACAATATTAAATCCTTTTCTTTTTTATTTGAAATATGTCATCTTTCTTGCCCTTATACAAGATCAGCCTATATATCAGCAGAACTCAGGCATACTTCACATCATAAGCCTCTAAATATACATGTGCTATTTACATCTTAGATGAAAGTGCCAAAACGAGTGATGAGGAGTTGAACTACCTTCAACAGATGAAGAAAGAGATGAGTGATAACCATAGAAACACAGATGCAACATTAGAGAAACAAAACACACATGAAACCACTAACAAACGAGATAAAACTGAACTTGCTCAAGAAAATAACAAGAAAAATGAAAAAGTAAGAGTACTGATATAAATTGAGCTGATACTTAAAAAGTAATCCAACAGTACAAGAGGATTCATTTTGCATTTTAATGAATTTTTGTTTTCTCTTTTTATCGGTTAGCTGAATACAGCTATAAATGAAGTAAGCTGTTTTGATTATCCACTGAATGAAGTTTCAAAATATACTTGTATATACTGCACAGAGGCTGTTCAGGCATCTGTAGTTCAATTTGTGGTCCATTAAGAACTCTGGTTGTTGAAATTTGTTCAAACTTCTTGAAATAGGACCTCTTGAATTCATGTTTTGTTTGGTGGGATTTGCTATTCTTTGGAGTTGCACTTTTCCTCATTCAATTGGTCACATGCTGTTAAATGTATAAACATTTGGGAATATTGTTTTAGAATCTTAAGTCACGTAACAAGAGGAGTGCAATGTTGCGGAGGCGGAGGAGACGAGGAGCAGGAAGTGATGACAGTGACCTGTCTGAGGGGGAAGCTGCTCTCAGTGCAGGTTGGTAACCCCTAGCAGCTAGCATAACATACTTGTGCTATTTAAATTTGCTGATGTTAGCACGTCCATTATTTGATACAGAATATTTGGAAAATTTTGATTTTCATTCATCTTAAGATAGCTTGTTATGCAATAGCTATTGCAATTTAGAATTCAGAATAAACAGCCTGCGGCATCGTCCTTTTCTGTGTCCAATATACCATGTGTCCTTAATCATAGGGCTCCTACCTCATTTTCATTAATTTTTAAACTTGCCATTGTGCTTTGTTACTGCAGATAGTGATGATTCAGACACTCTGTCAAGTGATTCGCAGGATGATGTCATAGACTATCTTAATAACAACACTGATTCCGATGACTCTGATAACTTGATGGAGAGCCAGGAGTTCCCTCCAGGTATTCTCTCAAGAGACCAGCAGAGCCAGCCTGATGAACAGGTATAGTGAATCCACAGTCTTATACAAAAATATTTTCAGGATGCAACTTAAAATGTTTTCAAATCTAAAAAATGATACCTCAGTTAATAGGTATGGAATAAAATTCTCAATTATGTAATTTAAAGGAGTTTAATAGAGTAAATAAGGATATATCATAACTTAACCTATTCGTTTAAACATGCTTTAAGTGAAAATATATATATTTTAAATTGATGATAAATTATGAGATAAACTATAAAAAATATGAACTATAGCATCATGGTATAGCATACCATAATGTCTAAGAAGCTCTTTCTCAATCCCTGTTTTCTTATTTGGATTTCAATTCATGTTTCATGTCTTCAGCTTGGACTAGGGCTAGGTCTGCATCTCTTAGCTGGTAGCAGTAGTGGTATGAACTTGAACAGCTCACTCAATGGCTCATTAGATGGTTCCTTCAGCTTGGGTAATGGGACTCTCTCCAGTGCAATGTATGATCACCTCAATGACATGTCAACTGAACTGTTTGCCAGCAATGGAGGTAAACAAAATGTTTTTATCTGAATATTATACTATCGTTTGATAGTTTGATCATTATGAATTTACAATGGTTTCAATAACCAGTACTTCTGATATGTGTTTTCTGTGGAATCAAAATAGATTGATGAACTAGATACTTTTATGTCTGATAGGTGTTTTCTGCAGCAACAGAAAAGAATAAGAACTAAGTCCTTCTGTATTTTTATTTTCCTAGACACTCTGTATATCTGATATGTGTTTCCTGTAGAAACTAGAAATAAGGAAATCAGTATCTTCATATTCCTAAACACCCTGTACATATACATAGGGAACTAAATGCTGTTGTATATTTTTGCCTAGACACCCTGTACATCTAGTGTATGTCTTTTACTTTAGGCTTCCTACAGCAGAGTCTAGGTCTGATGGTGAATGGTTACAATACAGTAGAACCAGAACAGGATAAGGAACTAAATGCTATAGTATATTTTTGCCTAGACACCCTGTACATCTAGTGTATGTCTTTTACTTTAGGCTTCCTACAGCAGAGTCTAGGTCTGATGGTGAATGGTTACAATACAGTAGAACCAGAACAGGATAAGGAACTAAATGCTATAGTATATTTTTGCCTAGACACCCTGTACATCTAGTGTATGTCTTTTACTCTAGGCTTCCTACAGCAGAGTCTAGGGCTGATGGTGAATGGTTACAATACAGTAGAACCAGAACAGGATAAGGAACTAAATGCTATAGTATATTTTTGCCTAGACACCCTGTACATCTAGTGTATGTCTTTTACTTTAGGCTTCCTACAGCAGAGTCTAGATCTGATGGTGAATGGTTACAATACAGTAGAACCAGAGCAGGATAAGGAACTAAGTGCTATAGTTCAGGGCAAGAGAGATGTTAGAGTCCCTCCTGGTATGTATGGATATATCTCATACTTTATCATACAGTATCTTGTATGTAGAGCAGTTTAGGGTATAATAACACTGTGGATATAAATCATATCTGAGTTGCAAGCAAGATGTGCTCTCTAATCTATATGACCTTTTTTGGCCCAAATTTTTTTGGGGTCCAACTTTTTTTTCTGGGCCCAACTTAGGGGGGAGGCTGGGCCCCATGGGCCACTGCTATATGTCCTTACACCAGTTTTGTTCAGTTGGCATTAGACTGCACAAAACTGGTATACAGTTACACTACACTTACTCTTGCAGATATCATATCTATTCATGTATATTAATCAAAACATTTCTAAATCATAATTTTATCTCCCAGGTATTCAAATTCATGGTATACTTTGTTGAAAATTTGAAATGTTGCATTTATGTTGCACCTAATCTTTAGTATCCATTGACACCCTGTCTATAGCCATGAGATAAATAAACATATCCTATGTATGAATTATTACTAGCCCAATATACAAATTTTATTTAATTTAGGATTTGATCATGACCCTGAGGCAGAACATGTTGCTGAGATAACAGCGAAACTAGCAAACTTTGTGATAGAGACAGATACAGACAACAGCTTTCTAACAACTGATACAGGTAATGTAGTCCTCCTTAGAACTTTGTACTTTACAATTGTATAAATGACTCTTCTGGGTTTCAGGTTTCATAGTATCGCCATTGGGCTTACAGGTTGAATGAGAAGAAATTAACGTAGAAAGGATTTTACTCCTATGACATCTATTTTTAATGGCATTTATTTTCTCCATATATTTTTCTCTAGTGATATCTATTTTTCTCCAATGACATCTATTATCCTACGATGACTTCTATTATCCTACAATGACATCTATTCTCTTTCAGTATCATCTTTTCTATTTTTCTCAAATTACATTTACTTTTCGCCTATTTTTCCAATATGCGCCGTCATCCCAAATATAACGTAGATGATGTTGTTTCAGATAACTCGGCTATGACAACTGAGAGTGAGAAAGAAACTGACCTGGACAGTGTCATTGACAGGTAATCTTTTTCATAATTCTCATGCACTTATTTATATCTAGATAATCTTTAAATATTTCATTCATTTTATGCCTGTGCATCTTTCATAAGTGATATTCCACAAAGCCCAAACATTGCTTGCTCGTTTAATTCAATAAGCATGGCCAGCGAATATCATCTAATGTTTCATGACATGTGACCAAATTTTGACCAATCATTCAATTGCATGGTTGATAGTAGTATGATAATAGATGATATTGATTGACCAGATCTGGACATTTTAGCTAAACTGATTGCAGAACCTGTATAAGTAAATGCCATTCACACTCATTTGTTGCTGTTTTACTTAGAGATGAACTGATTGAGAGGAAAATACGGAAGTTAATAGACGTCATTGGAAATGAGGAGCTCTTGATGACGGTTAAGGTGATCTGTGATTGGATGAAATGTAATGAGAAAATTCTTATTACATGTTCACAGGTAGGTTTCATTCTCATTTAGGCTTTCTTGATGTATCCATCCATGGATATAGCTCAAAACAATGGTTGTAGTTAGCTTGAAACATTTATCTCATCTCAAACTTATCCACAATATATTCAGGTATTATATTAAGAAATATTTTTGAATAAAACTAATAGTATGTATATCCATACCCGAGACAGTGCTATTTTTGATTGATATACATGTGTTTCTTTCAGAGCTCACAGTCATTGTGGTACAGACTGTCTGTTTTGTTGAACATGTTACCCACTGAGAAAGATCTCCTGCAACCAGGTATGGAATTTGTAATACCATTTATGCATGTGCTGTGTATTTAAGTATTTATACATTATATATGAGATCTACATTTCCTAGTGATCGTTTTTCTACCAGAAAATAAACATTTGCACTGTATCTCATAATAGAAAGAATTTGGAATCTCATTTAAAGAAGTACATCTTCATTATTTTGAATATTGGAGTCCATTTTTATGCTTTTGTGTTTTGATGAAGACTCCATGTATGAAAGGATAAGACTGGAGCTTGGTGGAGTCGCAACCTTTTATAACCAATGTGCCAAGTTCAGCAATACAGGTCTGCACCTGTAACAAATTGTTACAATTGTGTTACCATTTTGGAATATCTTGGTCGTTTCATTTCGTCATGTTAATGCTTTGTATTTTATGTTGCATAGATATGCAATAACATAACCATCATCACCAGGATAACACTTGAGCTCAGATTTGGTGTTGCAGGGTTATATTGTTCAGAGACACAAGTTTTCATAAATGACCAGGATAAAACTATCGCTTGTATTTTGCAGGTATATGTGATAACTTTACAGTGAAGACTGCACTAGAGAACTGCCAGATCAGTGACTGGAAGCAGAGCACTCCACTGAGAGAGGACTTGAACTTAGATCACTTTGTTCCACTCTCCTCCACCCATAAGGGTCTCATCTTCACTATGAGGAGTAGGCTTGACCTTGGAGAACAGGAAGAGGTTCTTGGCATTAATTCAATAATGAAAAAACGTTCCCACTTTCTTCTGGCATTGTTTCATATTTATTTTGATACATGAAATGTTAATAATTTAATTCAAAAGTAAACAAAATCTCTGCATTACAGCATGTGTGGTTTTCATGTTATGCTCTCAATTTTTTTTGGATATAAGCAAAGTCAAAATAAATAGTTGACATGAAAAAAATATAAAATTGCAGTCTAAGAATTAAGGAAGAAAAATGTCAAAAAGATCAATAACCACAAATAACCAGTTTTTATGGAATATAAATTGATAACTTGTTTGTTACCATTGTAGTCGTTTATGAGGCTTTGTATACTAAGGAATCATGGCAGGCACTTTACCACACTCTCTGGTATAAACTTCACGTTCAATGAGGAGAAGCACATGTTCATAGGGCCAATCCAAAAATCTGGCGACAATGAGATGGCTCAAGAGAAAATGGTAGGTGAATTTTTACAATACATAGTCCTATAGACCCCACTCCTTTAAATCATCTAAATAGAATCTAATCTACCTTTTCTTTAAAATGATTTTTTTTCAAAATTGTAACATTTTGGTCAAGATTTGTACATTCCTTTGTCAAAATTGGCAGGTTCTCGGAAGAATCATAAAAGCAACAAAATTTAAAAATTTAAGTACCTGTCCCCTGAAAATCGGACTCTTATTAAAGTAAAAAAAAAATACTATATTCGCCCCATTAGAGATGCATTAACAGTTTGAGAGGTTTGACACATCTTGGGCTTGTGTCAATAAGAAGTGCTGAAACTACTCGGACATCTTCTTTACCATAACAACATGAAAATCCTATCAGAAGGAGGGTTCAGCTTGGACTTTTATAGGACTAGCATTTTTTTGCCAAATAGGCCCAAGTTTTGAACTGATTTTGGTCCCATGTCATCCAAAAATGTCCAGATTCATGATGGCAGTTCTGCTGTTGGTAGTATCTTTTTCTCGATTTCTACAAGATTTTGACTGATTTTTCAAAGTTTTCCAAAAACCCTAAATAATAGGAGAATATGAAATGGTTCATTTGGAGGGGGAAATCAGTGTATTTCAAACTATGTCATTGTGGTCTGAATTAACAGTTTTTAAGGGTAAATAAAGAAAAAGGGCATTTAGAGTACAACCAGCCACAAGAAAACAAGCCCACTGCATCCAGTATGAAGAACTAACGCAAAGCAACAGTGTTAAATACCCTCCCACCATTCAGAAGTCAATTATGACAATCCAAATCCACAAGACCTTAGTACATTTTGTTTGGATAGATATTCAGATACTACTTATCTTGCAAGTATTTTGGGCTAAGAAGTCCATTGTTGTAGCCATGGATAACAACTAAGAATTTACAAGAACTTGTACAGAAATGCAGCATTATTTTCTGTGTTAAGTGTCACAATGCTTTCAACACATGCTTTGTATTCCCTGTTTGTATGTCTTCATTTATTGCAATCACATTCCAAACATACATTCTTATGTCGTCAATGGTTCAATGTTCCAATATCTCAGGCAAGTTATCATTCTGACAAGTAGAAGAGCATTGAACAACAAGAAATATTCAATAATTGTTTATTCACTTATTCAGAAAATTTAAGACATGAGAGACTTGTGTTTGACATGAACTTCTCATATTGACAATATTAATTATGTATATTGACTCTGTTATCAAAACAGGGTGGGGTGACAAAACACCAGTCAAAGCTTAAACATTAAATTTTCAAGACTTTTTAAGGAGAATCACTTGTGGTTGTTCGCATACTTACATAAATAACATACTTGGCTCTCAAAAACTTAAAGCAAACAAAATACAGTGCTCTTAAAGTTTTAAACAAAACCTCTAGACCAACTTAAGTTTATCTAACACTTAGTGTAGCACATTAGACTGCGTTAAAAGGATGTAAAGAACATGGAGTGGCGTTTAAGTGACTGCTCATACATATGCTACGATGTTCAATTGTCAATGTGTATGATTTTGAAAAATACAGCTTGTTTGAAAACAATATGTTGTATCTACGGTACCATTGTAAACCAGTCAATATATAGGTCTATGAATTTGATAGTAGTTACTTCTACCATTGTATACTTTCTCATTCATTCATAAACTTGCACCGTAACTAATAAGCATGCTCCCTCTTTAGTGAGTCGCTATCTAATTCACTCTTTCTCTGTGTCAAACTTGCTCCCTCACTCATAAACTTGCTCCCTGGATGCACTAGTGATGTTGCTCCCTCATCCACAAACTTACGCCTTCACTTGCAAAATTGCTCCCTCATTCATAAACTTACTCCATCACTAGCAAACTTGCAGCTCTTTCACAATAGCAAACTTCTTTCCTCATTCATAATTGTTTTCATCGGGAATCTTTGTGACTTGAGTGTAAATATGACTTGAATACAGGAAAAGAATGATTACCTTTATATTTTATCCATTTTGAAATACAGGACCAAAGTCATTGTGAGTTTTACAAAAAAAAACAATGAACCGTAAATTTGAAACACCCTGTACTTGAATTGATCACTGTAAGGTGCTGCCATCTCGTGTCCAATATTAGAATGAGAGAATGCTATGTCTGATAATGGAGATAGGAATAACTTGAGTATTTGTGGTTTGTGACTTTATTTGAATTGAAAACAAGTTTGGTTTTCTTGTCAAATACATCTACATGTGTTATTTACAGTGATACATGTTTAATTCTTGTGTGCAATATGTTTCCAAGCAATTAGAAATCTGTTAAGAAGTTATCGAGTTATTTCTTTGTTTCTTATAGAGATTATTACCTTGATAGTTTGTTTGTTTGTTTTTAATACACAGAACTTGTTGATATCTGCAAAACAAACAAACAAATAAATAAAGGCAGAAAAATTATTACTATCTTATCTCATGAATATTTGAAGAATTTTCAATATATCAAATATTGTGAGGCGTTAGAATATAAGGTTAGTTACATGTACACAATGATGGTTTCACTCTTGAAGCCAAAATGCCTGGACTTACAGTATTTGCATTTTTTTTATATTTTATTCTAAAAATACTATTAGATGGCAATGATGTTTTTGTATTTACTGCAAACTTTTATCATTGAACAGTATTATATTATGATTTATGCAATTATGTGCTATTTTGAGAAATATTAATAAAATAGCCGACTTGACTGAGAAGGGCCTTTTCATGATTTCTAACGGCAAACAATCCAATCTTACAATCATATCACTTCAGTTCATTTTCTTATCATCATCTTTATATATTTATACCTATTTATCACAATTCTATATCATGCTTGTATCAGCAAGTATTTACATAAACTTGAAACTGTTTAATAGTAGATAACTTTTATCAATGTTGGAGTATTGGTGATAAGTCTAATTTATTAAAACATTTATTAACAAACTGTGTGCCAGTAGGTCTGTTATAAATATCAATTTTGATGTGTTAGTCTATTAAAGAGTTATATTTAACGAGCGGTTGAAATTGTCTCAGAGCTGACTAAGTTAGAGACTAGATTATTGATATGCTAAGCAGTATTACAAGATGTTGAAGGAGCATAGGGGAGAGTTTCAAGTATATAGACTTTGCTTGGGTTGCCATCTCACGATCTCCTTCACCCGCTTTTAATGAAGTTGACTCTGCTCTTGTGGAACTATTTTTTCTATTTGTAGGGTGGTGCAGCATGCTGAATCACTCAGTTTTTTCCCACATTTAAATGTGTTTATACAAATCCAATGTATTGATACTCATTATTATTTTTATAAATATGTTCTATGTACACATATTATTTTTGATAAATTATTATCTAGATCCATAAAATAGACAATTTTAATCTTCCTAATCTATTTTGTATTTTTCACTTATAGGAAATAGGATTCAATTGAAGTATTTTGATGATTTGATTGTAGTTTGAATTGATCTAATATTTGCTTGTACCTAATATCTGAATATTTCCACAATGTAAGTAAATATTTGGATATTTCAAAAGACATTTTTAAAGAGCGCAATGTCTAGGTGTCAAAAATGTTTACAGAAATAGCATTGTTTAAGTGTGTTTATATTTATCATATATAGATTTATGCTCTTAAAAACATGATCAATTTGAGAAAGTTAAAGTTGTCAAGGTTACTGTATCAAATATATTACTTGGTTCTAAGTGTACACAAGTACCCCAAAATACAAGTACATAAAATATTTAATGTTGAAGTGCAAGTTAAACAATCGTGAAGGTTTGCTTTATACTCAACACAATGCTACGAGTAACCAAGAGCTCTTCAAGTGTGGAGTAGAAGCCCTTGCTATTCAAATCTTAACAATTGTGACATTTCTGATTTAAAAAATATTTTGTTCTATGATATTGTGTTCTTTGATGAGTCGCTAAACCATATGGTATTTTTGTTTAGATTTCAGATGATATAATCATCCCTGAGAAAATGTTTGAATTTTTTTGTAATTTTTTAAATCGCGTAATATTATTTGTGAAGTATGTTTCTCCAGAGAATCTCTATAAGGGTGAAGTACTTTTTTGATTGCTCACAACTCTTAAGTAGCTTTTAAGTTTAACTGTTCAACATCACGCTAGCATTTTGATAAATTTTGAAATTATTTGTCCGTGTTTGCATTGCTTTTACACATTGAAATGCATATCACTTATATGAGCCAGACCTTTATAAGTGATTGCAATGATGTGTTTGCTCAAATCAGATATTGAGAAAAATATGTCGTTAAAACAGTTTTTTCCACAGCAATTTTTCCCTGGATTTATTAAAAACACATAGAAAACTGGAAGGTGATTCGGAGTACTTGTGTAGTGAAAGGAAGATAAAGCTAGTATTAAACTCATCAAATATTCCTTATATTGAAATTAATGATATCAATTAAGAGCCCAGTCCAATGATAAAACACATTTATGAATTATTCAATATTGATTCTTATTATTTATGTTTAAAAAATAATTACAGGCACTCCAGTGGTGTTTGATGTTGGTTTAATAACTGTGCTTGGCTTTTTATAGACTCTGCTCTTGAATGATTATTAAAGAGCCTATAGGTTTAAATTATTGATGTACATTATATTTATATACAGCTGCTATGATGTATGTGTAAATACCATGATCACTATGATATTATGCATATATAGCATGTTGATAAAATGATATTCAGGTTTTCTACACTTCTCTCCTGGAGTTTAGGAACTTCTATTGTGTTTTGTATCTTGTTGTTTCATCCAGTGTAGTGTCTGTGTGTCAGATGAGAATTGAAAAATCGAAAATAGATAATAGAAATACAATAATGTCAATAAATTGGATGATTTCAAAGCTTTCGACAAGCCTGCATTGGAAGTTATATAAGAAAATATATGTTTTTGTCTCATTAAGATTAATGAATTTTTTCATTTAAATATGTTTAAACATACATTATGTGAAAATCATTGAGGTTTAGCAATTTCAGACTCTGATT